TGCGTGGTTACCTATTTCTATATCACTGTAACAGCTTGAGAACAATACAACACTACAACATTCCAGGTAGAGTAGCACAGAAAATAAAAATTAGGATCGTAAATCTTGGGTAAAAAATTATATCCAACTACGACTGCATAAAGATCATAACTGAAGGTAAACCAAAAAAATAACAATCAAAATTTTGTTCTAAAAAAATCAGTGGAACATCACCAAGGCAAATAAAAAATGACAACGTTTCCTGAAATCTTAACATTTAAGGGATTATACACAGTGTCCAGGGGTATAATCTATGTCAGTCATGATACAATAGTTTCAGTGAATATATCACTGTCCTCCGGCAAAACTTCTCCATGTGTAAAAACAATTATCACTTGATCTCTGAACTCATAAAAAGTGTGTCCTCTGACTTCCAACAAGAAATTATGACACGTAAAAAAAGAAATTGAATTTAGTTTATCTGCAGTTCAATGCGGGCATGATTTCACTAGATTATATCCCATGTCAAATGAATTACAAACTTTGATGGATCACTATAGTGGCTGTGTAAGGTTATTCTGTTGTGTATCCAGATCAAATAACAACTTTATTACTCCATCAAATTATGTCAAACTTGGTATAACTGCATGTGCCAGTAACAGATTTATCCTGGATGTCCTCAAGGAGCAATGTCAACCCAAGATGGAATCCACTAGTTATGGTTGTACACGTAACGACAAGAAAAATATCCTGTAGAAGATTTGCAGTTACCTGAAATGCTCCACTGAGAAATGATTTAAACTAACAGAACATTTAATGTTTTTAAAGAAATTGAATTTAGTTTATCTGCAGTTCAATGCGGGCATGATTTCACTAGATTATATCCCATGTCAAATGAATTACAAACTTTGATGGATCACTATAGTGGCTGTGTAAGGTTATTCTGTTGTGTATCCAGATCAAATAACAACTTTATTACTCCATCAAATTATGTCAAACTTGGTATAACTGCATGTGCCAGTAACAGATTTATCCTGGATGTCCTCAAGGAGCAATGTCAACCCAAGATGGAATCCACTAGTTATGGTTGTACACGTAACGACAAGAAAAATATCCTGTAGAAGATTTGCAGTTACCTGAAATGCTCCACTGAGAAATGATTTAAACTAACAGAACATTTAATGTTTTTAAATTGACCAAAATCTTCCAAAGAAGTGTTGTGGAATCTATTTTTACAAGAAACTAAGGTCCACATAAAAAGAACAATTCAACCCTGGGGCACTCTCACCTTAACACCATTATCTCTAATCACATCAAAAGACAATTAGCTCTTTACACCCACCAGTTGCTAAAACATATATACACCATCAAGAGGGTCTTCAAAAGTGACCATACCGACCATAAAGCTGTTACACAACCCCAACATGGTCCTAATCTCTTTCCCTTTTATTCTTAAGATAGATATATGGTAGATATCTAGTCCAAACAAGGAACTTAATGGGTAAAGCGTACTTGTAATCTTTTGGGTTGTACCTACAGAGAACTCAATTATCGCAAAAACAAGGATTGGGGATCCTGTCTCTTGCATGCTTAGACTCGATCGTCAACTCTTTAATGAGGGACTAATCAGCAACAAACAATGTGTGAATCCAAAACAGGCATGTACAGACCATAGATTAATTATCCTCACATTGTACAATCTATGTTGTAAAGGCCCATTCAATCAAGTTGTATTAGCTTTTTGTAAGCAGTGGTAAAACCCACAATAATGAAACACACTTTCATAAGTTTTCATAATTCAGCTTGAGTGGTTATGACTTTTAACACATCTGAGGGCCCATTCAGTATGCAATATACAATTACATTGATTAATTGATTATCAATAACTGAATACATCAACAGTTTGTACTAAAGATTAAAGGAAATTAAACAGTCCTTATGTATATATATTTAAATCTCCAATTCAAAATACAAAGACATTTGTATATAAATATTATGATCCATTAATCATAAAAGAATCAAAGCATGACTGTGTACTTCGATTCCTACATGTGATTCAACTGATTCTCATGATTTAAAAAATAAATTTGTAAAAAACACTTACAAAAAGATACTGCTTGTCAGTAAATATATGTATAAGTATGTGATAGATAAATAGTATACAGTTGTATATTAAGGCCCAAATTTTGTGCATTACTGGTTAACTTACAGTCATATTCAAGAAACAATTACTCAAAATCTTCCTTATTTTTAGGGAAAGATGATACAAACAAACTTTTGTCAAATAATTTAAATGAATAAGTTTAGCTGCATAAAGTTTCATTTTTTATTCAAAGTTTCACAATTATGTCCTATAAAGTGATAAAAAAAATTGTATTATGATAGATTTATAAGGGTGATGACATAAAGGAAGAAATTTGAACATCATGGAAAGTCTACAATTTCTTAATCTCTTAGAGATTTGATATATGCAGTGTGTACAACCAAAAATAATATACCAGTATATGCAACCAATGTTTTGTATGTAGCATTTGTCCTTGATGATCAAAAACTTCTTCTTTTCATTCATCTTCATAATTCTGAGTAATTGTAATCACCAAAAAAGTCCACCTTTTCAAAGCTTATCATCTCAAAACAAATGTTTACATCTGTGCTCTGGAGTTATATGAGAATAAAAAGTAAAGAAATGTGAATTAACAAGATGGAAAATCAATCCTCAGATGACCACAGAAATCCATAGTAATTATTTTAATAGTCATGTCTTCTGAAATTAAGGGAACTCTTGATTTAGAAACAAAATGAATGCGTACGTAAAAGAATTAGAAAAAAAAAAACTTTTTGAAGACCTATAAAACAAATCAACAAATCTTTTGAAAAACAGAGTTGTAATCTGAGAGCCATTCCTGTGACCCTGTATCAGAGAGATAAAGGGAGGTAATCTAGGAGGAGAGACAACCAGTTTTTATTCTATATGCCAAATGTAACAGATATCCTTTTAGTCTGACTAAAATGGTATATAATGAAATTTTGATGGGAGAAAACAAGACTCTCTAGTTTCTGTTTATCTTGAGTTGTCACGAGTCACACAAACTGTCAGATTACGGGAGTGTAGACAGAGGATAAGGGACACTATAGGTAAGGTGGTGGATTGATAATACTACAGGTGATTTCTACAGAGGTAGATATCATACCTAGCTACTGGTCACATATAGACAAAGTAAGTTACTTAAATATACACTTCTCCCTAGCAGTTAAGTATATTTATAGGACAATGTGTCATGGCTGATGCAGATCCGTGACTTATCTCAATTACATGTACTCAGTAAAAAATTAATGAATTTCTGGATTAAAAAATTTACAAATTATAGGATAGCAAGGTTCAGCTAGAAATAAAGATAACCTCCTTTAGATATTGATGACAGGTGCCTTTTTCACATGTACCAAATTATATTAAAGACTTTTTCAATCATTATTATAATGATGTGGACATTTTATTTTGTTGTTTTTATTTCTATAAAGAAGCAATTTACATATAAACTTGTAAACAGCCATAATTTCAGACAATGACAGAGCAATTTTCATTCAAACTCTATTGCATTAGAAGTATGGATTGAATAAATATTCAAATCAGACTCATATCAAGGGTTTAATCCAAAGCAAGACAAATACTCCAATAAGTCCATCATCTGAACAATCACAAAGACTTTAACAAATTCTTATTTTTTCTGGTTCACACTCTCTTTTAGATAGAGGGAAAATAAAAGTTACATGAATACATTTTCTCTACTCCTGATAATATCTTTTTTATTTCACAAGAAACAGCTTAATTATCCAACATATTTCCAGTCATTTTTTGTTTTGTTTTTCAACCACAGTTTGTGACAGCATGTAATTGTCATATATAAAAGCCAGAGGACAGCAGTAGACTGCTATTTTTCTGGATCAGTTTTAAGATTATAAAGAATTGACCAATCATTTTATTTTGAAAAAAAAATGTTTCAATTTTAGTCTCAAAACTATTACCTACAAAAGCCTATCAATCTATACTTGAGCATCATTATTACAGCACAGGAAAAAAGTATACACATTCAGAAAAGCTTAATTCACAAGTTTGCTGATTCTTGTCACACTTAAACAAGCACTGGGGAAAAATAAAGTTTATATCTGTCATAATAAATAAGGGTCATGTGTTTATCTCAGTGAAACAACTTTTTCTTTACTCTCATTACCAATATTAACAATTATTTCTACACTGATCAGCAAGTTGGAATTTTAACACAAATACACATTTTCATTTCATTCTATTGCATTGAAAAGTTGAAAAAACAAAACATTGAATGCCTGGTATTAATGATTATTTGTTATTTTATAAAACATTCATACATACATTCAGTTATATAAGTTATTCCCCAATTAGCATCAAATTTCTAGTGATTAGTGAAAAGAATCAAATACAGACCTACAAATTTGGACAGAAGTATTCCACATCCGAGCAGTTTGGTCTCTAACTGACAGATAAAATTAGGTTAGTTGGTGGGCAACTTATTCATCAAATTCTCAGGTAATTCAATTAGATTAAAGTATTAAGAAATCAAACTATAATCCACTGTGAACAGGTAGGAAGAGTGTACTGTGTAAACTCTTAACAAGAATTAATTAAAGTCCCAAGGACAGGTAATACAGGTGAGAAAATTTCTCATTCACAGAGGAACTTCTCACCTTAAAGTGTAAAACGACCTGAAGGGGTCGTTGCTGGACAAAGGTACAAAAAGGAAATTAATTAATTTTGTTTACGTGAAAAACAATCTTGAAAAAGAATCTAATTTAGACAAAAAGACTAAGTATAATTGCAAACTGTCTATAGGTATAAACCTTAAACGCTCTTTAGTTTTATAGACTGTATTCTGTACAAAGGGCACTAACTCCTACAACATACCACCTAATGGATTCACCTGTAATCTACACTTAATTGTACCTCATCCACATGACTTTTACCTGTGATTGCCAACCTGAAATCTTACCTGTGCTTCATTCTCAAACTCCTCGAATTCCTGGAACAGCTCCTCGACTTTATCCAGAGAGTCTCCGAGTTGGGACATTTTGGTCTGTAGCCATTCCAGCTTACGTTCCACATTATACTGGTACTGGAAAATTTAAAATGGTGGTGAAATAAGGATTCTTGATGAATTTTAAAGGATTTATAATTTAAAGTAATTGAAATTGTGTGTCTAAAATCAACTGTCTAAAAAAAAAATTTCATAGAAAAAAAGAAAAAGAACTTAACATTTTTCTCACCTATTTGTACACAACTCAGATATTTTATATCGTTTGACTTGATTTAATAAACGTTTTATTTTTTTATTTATTACTCTTTGAACCTGCTCCATAACAATTATCTTCATTTTTACAAGTGCATATTCCTGAGACTGCCAAAGCAGTAGTGCCTGTGTATTTAAATTACTTACTAATTTGAATTCTTCCTCAAATTGCCGTAGAAGCAGTGCCTGTTTGAGTCGCTTTTCATGTCGAGCCCAGAATCCCTCAAACTCTTTCTTAATCTCCTCAAGTTTTATCAGAAGTCTGCAAGTACAAGGATTGACTCAAAAGTCCTGTTTTCAATATATGAGTAATAGATTGCTGCCTTAAAGATTAAAATCAGGAATTCAGTAAAACCATCATTTTATTGAATATCCAGTCAGACTGTCGACTTCCTTTTCAGACAATGGATATACTGTAAACGTACTTTTTACCACAGGGTCATTATTCTGCAAAACTATAATTTAATTCTGCTCAATCCATGGGTAGAAAATTACACAGATTTTTTTAACTGCCTTTCTATGTCTTAAATGTACTTAAAAGTACGCTGTGACAATTTCCTGCGGAAAATATGTGACCATGTACATGGCCTAAATTAATGTGATCTAAACTTTCTGTCATAAAATTTTACTGCTGTGGTTTTAGATACAAGCTTATTTTTTGTGAAATTATTGAACAAGTGAAAATTAGTAAAAGTTGACAGCATGAAAAATTACCCTTTATATGGTATATATATATCATTTTGACTTACTCACTCTGTAAATCACAAAAAAAATTCTTTCTCTTAAAAATGTACAAAAGTAGCTATTTTTCTTGCATATATACTACGTAGATACCATTATAAGAATATTCTTTTCGCTGTTTTCCCAACATAGTATAATGTATATATAAGCGTACAACATATTTTTTTCATTATAATCTGCTCAAGAGTTTTTTTGAAAATGGATTTAGGTTATTTCATATACAGATTGATCATAGTATATCTTAATTTCCAGGAAATTCTTCCAAATAATTTCAAAAAAAATCTTAGAAGTAGAGCTGAACAATAGAATAGAACAGACAAAAATTCTGACATACTTCTCTAGACTTCTAACATGTGTAGCCTGAGTAAAGTGGATTTCAGAGTTATCCCCCCTAATACAACTCAGCAGCGTTTCTCCGTGGGTAACCGTGGAGGCCTGGTCGTCGAGGATTTCCTTACGCCCCTGGATATGGTCCTGGATCAGTTTCTCCATCCCGGGAACATCGTTAGGAATCTCTATTTCCTCATATTTCTTCACTAAAACCTTGACCGCGGTACCCATCTTCTCAGTGTTGGAAGCAAACTTCTCTACAGCCTGTTGAAAATGAGAGAAGGGAACGATAAATTTAAGGTGATACCAGTCATAATTACCAGATACAATTTGTTCATTGCATGTGTATGTGTTGGTGTATTTGGTTTGGGTGCAGGATATGCCACTCATCTGAAGGAAAAAATTACCAGGGGTACCTCCTAAACTAGAGATACTGTAAGCACTAAGCTCACAAAATGATATCCCCCGCTCCCGTATGAGTATAATGGCAGAGTTTAGTTTTTGCCATTGGAAACCCCAAATATCTGTCCAATTGAATTAAAAAATAGAAGGTGCACTAATTGGCACTATGTAATAAAGACTCTGTGAAAGATTCATCAAATTTTATTCAGTGGTATAGCAAGAGTTGAGGACATTAAGAGATGAGTACCCTCAAGTGATATGGTAAACAGATAAACACCTCCATCAATATATACCCCTTGTCCCCTGCTTTCAAGCTGGGGGTATACGGGTATAAAAAAAAACTTTTACATAAAATTGCAAACACCCAAAATTTTGCTTCAAGAACTCTTGTAGCATAAAATTTAAAAAAATAAAGTTTAACCAGAAAACATGGGAAGATGAGTATTTTATAGTTTAGGAATCATGTATATCAAATCAATTTCTTTTTTTATCTGTGTCAAAACAAATAGTACATAATAATATATAGATATCTAACTAATTCTGAATTTGAATTAACACACAGGAAATCTATTAAGGTAATCTATTCACACTTATCAACATCCTCTAAGAGCTCAACAAGTTCCCCCAGCTGTGTCTGATGTGTATAAACAAAGATTACAGAAAATATCTTAGAATAATCTTAATGAAATAATAAAGTGTAATATAGCGGGAACAGGTGCCCCTTCCTTCCAGGTGATAACTTAAAATATACAGCGAGATGAAGGTCAATCATATCTAGATATCAGTGTTATTAGTAATCTACACCATACAGAATGACTCAGCTGTACAATGATGTATATCAGATATTAGTGTGATTATAACTGGGTCTATATAATTTGTTGGTAAATTACTTATGAAGCTTGAAAAACAATCTTGATCAATTATGCATGAATGAATCATTACCAACATAAAGATACTGGCAAAATTGTCCACTCATGAATGCAACATTCACTTCATTATTTACTTCTGCATGTTAAATCAGCTGGAGATGAGACCATTCATTCATTGAGGTGCTTTTAGGATAAATTACCCTCATGGATGCATTATTTAGGATATATTACCGTGTGGCACCTTAATATAAGTTTTAACTTGGAGAACTAAGAGTGCTATGCACTTGCTTGAGGAAAAATTAGTACAATTTCCCAATCACCGACTAATAATTATTTACATTTATAGTGATGTTCCTACAATTACATACAGATTTGTGTTGAGTCCATTCATTGGCGTCAAACTCGAGTTTACCCCCCACATCTGTAGTTAACTGATCCTCGCTTATGTAGTCAAACATCTCACTCGGCTCATTACATAACACAACCTGAAAGGTAAATAATCTTACTTTCTAAGCTAAGAGAAAAAAAAATATTTAAAAAATTAAAATAAGACAAAACAAATAAAATTTCAGTCTATTTAAAGTTTATGACCTTTCACATGTATTAAATGGCTCAAATGCAGTTCAACTAGTACATAATTTCAAAGATAAGATTATTGTTTAATTGTTAAATTGTTTAACACATTTTTCATTTCTCTACAAATATGTCCATATGACATGAATGCCTTCCTTAGGTACCGGTACATTGTATTGCAGCAAGAAAAAAAATGTACCTTGATTCCATGGTCTGAACTAATAGTAAAATATGATGAAAGAAGGAATAATTTTCATATTTTTCATACAAGAATTTAAACCTTCAGTACATAAGTATGTATGATTAAATGCTCTGAGATTTTTCCGAGTTTTGTGAAGTAATTCTTTAAGGACTTAGATAAGATGAACTTGGAGCAAAATGAAGAAAAAGTGAAAATCAGGGTCATAGGAAATTTCAAGCTCAAAAAATGATGACATACTTTTATTTCTCTCATAAGCTTGTATCAGTATACAAAGTTTGATGAAAATATCTTGAGCACTTTATTTTGAAACTTAGTTAAATGCAAAATGAAGGAATAGTGAGATCAGGGTCAATGGAAAGGTCAAAAAAAGAAAATAAGGACACAGCTGAATTGCTTCCACTAATATACAGTAAAACTTGCTTATAAGGAAGTCACTGGGACCTCAGTTTGCTTCCTTATAACTGGGATTCTTTATATCTGTGTAAAGAACATATAGTGAAAGTCTTCTACGGGATTAGTAAAATTTTCCTTAAAACTGAGATTTCCTTATCAGTGAGTTCATTATGACTGAGTTTTACTGTATGTATATTTGTATAGAGTTTAATTATAAAATCTTCAAAAGTGAAGTTCATCAGAAGGTCAAAGTCATAAAGGTTAAGGTCATAAGAGTATGCCACAGTTGAATAGTTCTCTTGAATATGTACCATTGTATGAATTTTGTTCGCAATATTTTGAACAGTTTCTTTGAAAATGAGCTAAATGTAAAGAGTATTGGAAGGACAGAAGCATGGAAAGACAAAAGGATGGAAAGCACTACAATATTCCCCTGCCATATTCAGGGCAGGGAATAAAAAAGATTTTGTCAATGGCTAGGTTTAAAAGCCAAAAAAAATCTCTTTTCCCATAACTTTAGAAGCAAACATAAAAAAAAATTAAGAAATAACGGCACTGCATCTGTATTGTAAATTTATCTAAAAGTTTATGTACCTCACTTGACAAGAACAATTTTATTTTTTTCATTAAAACACTCAGACTTACAGATAAGCAACTTGTAGTACATGCAAGTACTAGGTATTAGGCATTGTTTAGAAGGAAATTTTGTTAAGTCATCTAACCTTAAATTCTAGTTCCTCTTTCACAAACTTGGATTTCATGTCAGCAAATGCTCTTTGGAAAAACCCTTTTGGTTGCAGCAAGAACACAACTTGTATATGTTTTGGGAAAAATTCCTGCCAAAGACAACAATCTCAGAATTAGACAACAATTTCATGCAATATGTCAGTTTTTCAGGATAATTCAAATACCTCCTTTGTTTTTATATTATGAAAAACCAATGAGTTCCAAAATTAGGAAATAATTAGCAAAAATGAGTTTTTGATTATTGTTTTTTGTCAAGAAGGATTCTTTAAAATACGTAATATGTGCCAAACTTTTCGGAAATTTCACAATCTTTGGATTGTTTGCCAGTCAGTTTGAGTACACAAATAATGAATCAGATGTAATCTTAATGCCTGTATATTAGTTTTATTGTAAGCACTGACCGACATTTTTAGTAAGAGTGCCCTGACATCGTTCCAGCTCGCTTGTCGTCTGTCTAACACAATTACAAAACCCTGCTCAGATTCAGCCAACCTGGAACAAGGAAAAAAACTTTATACAGTATACACTGAATCTTCTGCCATCAGTTTCAAAAATATGTGATTTTTTTCAACAAACAAAATTAGTTTTTCTATGACACTAATGTCTTCTTTTGTTTTCTTTCTTTTTTTTAAACAATTAATGAGAAATCGGTGTACAGAGGAGTCCTTGTCAATAAGGATACTTGTGTTCCTGTGCAAATTGTCACCTTCAGCTTACTGAAACATACTTTTTATAATTTGTAGATATATTCTGTCCCAAAGGTGAAGCATTCAGATTACTGGAGTTTGGATTACTGAGGATTGACTGTATTAATATTATTATTATTATTATCATTTTTTATTTTTTTGCTATATACATGTACAAATGTCCAAATAAAATTAAAATCATATAAGATTTTTTTCACCAAATCTCAACATGTTTTACTTCAGATGTAATATGAAGTGACACAAGGCTTGTCAATCTGTGATAGGTCTGTATCCTTCAGAATATAACTTACGTCGGAACACAGCACAGGAAGTTGACAAGCTTTCGGTATTCCTCGTCAGGTATCTGTGGATGCTGAGGATTTTCTGGAAATGTCAGAATCAAGGCACCATTTTTTGCTTTTCCACCTGAATTGAATAAAAGTGAAATCTGCATTTAAGTTCAATTCAATAGTATACTATACACATGGGTTCTTCTTAGTTTTTTTGTTTAAAATGAAATAAGATTTAGATTTTTAAAAATAATAAATGGAAATTTTATATAAAGCATATAGTTTTATCAAGCACAAAAAGAATGTTCTAATGAATAATCTTCCTCCTACTCCATAATTAAATACAGTCAAACCTTGTTATCTTGAACTCAAAAAAACTCCAGATATCAGAGGAGAGAAGATATATAGGTTAAAATATATAAAGGAAAAATGGTGGGGACTTCAATCACACTTTGACATATCCATAGTATTCAAGATATAAATGTTTGAGATACCAAATTTAATTTAAAACTGTATAATACCACTAAATTACACTGTTGTGGATAAACCTGTGATAAATAAGTTCTTTGTCTGTGCAAGACAAGCTTAGTCTTATACACTGAACTTCACTTACAATAAATGTATTTTGAGACTGTACAAGAGAGACTACATCTAGTACACAATAAACTTGACTTACCTGTGATATATGCATATGAGACTACATGTATGATAAAACTAAATCTAGTACACTGTACTGACTTACCTGTGATATATGCATATCGAGACTGTATGAGGAAGGCTACATCTAGTACACTGTACTGACTTACCTGTGATATATGTATTAAGACTGTATGATAGAGACTACATCTAGTACACTGTACTGACTTACCTGTCATATATGTATTAAGACTGTATGATAGAGACTACATCTAGTACACTGTACTGACTTACCTGTGATATAAGCATATCGAGACTGTATGAGGGAGACTACATCTAGTACACTGTACTGACTTACCTGTGATATAAGCATATCTAGACTGTATGAGGGAGACTACATCTAGTACACTGTACTGACTTACCTGTGATATAAGCATATCGAGACTGTATGAGGGAGACTACATCTAGTACACTGTACTGACTTACCTGTGATATAAGCATATCTAGACTGTATGAGGGGGGCTTCATCTAGTTCACTGTACTGACTTACCTTTGATATAAGCATATCGAGACTGTATGAGGGAGGCTACATCTAGTACACTGTACTGACTTACCTGTGATATAAGCATATCGAGACTGTATGAGGGAGGCTACATCTAGTACATTGTGCTGACTTACCTGTGATATAAGCATATTGAGATTGTACGAGGGAGGCTACATCTAGTACACTGTACTGATTTACCTGTGATATAAGCATATCGAGACTGTATGAGGGAGGCTACATCTAGTACACTGTGCTGATTTACCTGTGATATAAGCATATCGAGACTGTATGAGGGAGGCTACATCTAGTACACTGTACTGACTTACCTGTGATATATATATTTCAAGACTGTATGATAGAGACTACATCTAGTACACTGTACTGATGTAACTGTGATATATGCATATTGAGACTGCATGAGGGAGGCTACATCTAGTACACTGTCCTGACTTACCTGTGATATAAGCATATCGAGACTGTATGAGGGAGGCTACATCTAGTACACTGTACGGACATTCTTGTTCTTCCATCAAGTCACTCTCTGTAAATATAACAAGAGGCCCATGAACCACAGTGCTCACCTGAGACACTTTAACCCTTTTAATTGTCATTAGCTGATTTTTTTTTAATTTCACAAAAATTCTGACTTCGTATTATGAAACAAAATCTAGCCCTAAGAGAGCTATGACTTAATAAAAGTTGAATCCACACAACGTTGGGATGCTCAATATCAATATGATCAACATGGCCCTGTTGTTCTGGAGGAGATTTTTTTTTCCTGTACACATGCATGATGTAGAATTTGGATGTCCGATTTCAGCCCAACCCTAATATCTTGGCTTATAATTTAAAAAAAAAAATGCTATGTAATGAAGCTTTCACATAACTTTCATCTTTTCTTGCACAGAGGTTCTTAAAGAGATGCCATTACATTTTCACTAATTCTTATCTCCACTTGGAAGAGGGTGTGGCCCTTAATTTATATAAACTTAAATCTCCGTCACCCAAGAATGCTCTGTGCCAAGTTTGGTTGAAATTGGCCTGGTGGTTCAGGAAATGAAGATAACAATGACAACAGACAAAGGGCAAATTTCGATCAGAAAAGCTCACTTGAGCCTTTCCTTCAGATGAGCTAAAAATGAAAGTATAATATGTATCTAGACCTGTCCATCTCTCACTTCATCTGATTCCCTTTAGGTAAGTTCTTTAACTTCCCTAATTTTGAACTAATCCCTAGGAGTACAAGCTGCTTAGCTCCTCTAACTCCAACCCTGAGAGTCAAAGCTACTCAGCTCCTATCACTCCCAAACTTAAAGTCTACTACTCAGCTCTTATCAATTAGAGAGTCAAAGCTACTCAGTTCCTATCATTCCCTACCTGAGAGTGAAAACTACTCAGCTCCTATCACTCCCACCCTGAGAGTCAAAACTACTCAGCTCCTATCACTCCCAAACTTAGAGTCAAAGCTACTCAGTTCCTATCATTCCCAAACTTAGAAGTCAAAGCTACTCAGTTCCTATTCACTCCCAAACTTACAGTCAAAGCTACTCAGCTCCTATCATTCCCACCCTGAGAGTCAAAGCTACTCAGTTCCTATCACTCCCACCCTGAGAGTCAAAGCTACTCAGTTCCTATCACTCCCACCCTGAGAGTCAAAGCTACTCAGTTCCTATCACTCCCACCCTGAGAGTCAAAGCTACTCAGCTCCTATCACTTCCTCCCTTAGAGTCAAAGCTACTCAGCTCCTATCACTCCCACCCTGAGAGTTCAAGCTACTCAGCTCCTATCACTCCCATCCTGAGAGTTCAAGCTAATCAGTTCCTATCACTCCCACCCTGAGAGTCCAAGCTACTTAACCCTATCACTCCCACCCTGAAAGTCCAAGGTACTTAGCCCTATCACTCCCACCCTGAGAGTTCAAGCTACTCAGCTCCCATCACTCCTACCCTGCTTTCCCTTGAGGAGTAGTTTTATGTGCAAAAATTCAGTGACATGATAAAATAGTTACTAAGGATTCAGGCAAAAGGGACCATGATGCTCAGACTTTTCAATCTGTGTATGGATAATTAAGATTGAAGTGATGTCTAGCTAGTCAAGACTTAGAAGTTAATGAGTTAGCAATTAATTGTCTGTAGATCTCAGAACCTTGTATTGAGTAAAGGTCATTTTAAAGTCATATTAGCATGATGAAGATTTGATAAAGATATATGTAGGAATGGAGTCGGTTAATTAATAGATTGGAGCTAATGTTGTGGGATAATTTTTCATTGAAACAATAAGCTTGTATTCCCCATACTCTCAGAAGATGGGGGTGCTTTTCTAAGATCTAGACAGTACATAAACTGGTATGAGGATAAAATCTTTAATCATTGTCAAAATGTATATCAATTAGTGAACAATTTATCATTAAAGTTTTCACAAAAATTTTCATTAAAGTTTGAATTAATACCCTAAGTGACCAAGCGACCCATTCCCTCTTGAGCACTAACACAAATAGTTCCACACTAATTAAGCTATTTTTCCTCTTATTTCTACATCATCCCTTCAAAGATGAAGCTTACCCAACTTAATGCCAAATCAACAAGAAACTTATAATGTCACTATGCCAAATTATTTAAAATTATTTAAAATTACAAAGGACATCCTTGTCCTTGTCCCAAGCTCTCAGAGTATTCCTCTAACATACTGAACACTGGATTACTCCCAAACAATTCCTGAGTGCTTAATTAACAAATCTGAATCCTCCACCTACTAATCAAGGATTCTGAACTCGTGATTACTTAAAACCTTTTCAGTATGGAAACAAAGATGAAGAGTGAAGTATAAGACCCAGGACAATTACACAATACATACAATATGAAGTCTACTATAGCACATACTGACAGTAAGGAAGAAATATGATGGCCTTGTGTAATTCTACAGTCAGAATGGGAAGCTTAGCAAAAACAGCACTTAACAGACATTTATTAAATCAATATAGTAAATCAACACCAATCACATGTTAACTTATATCAAACACCATGATGGCGTAGTTATATCTACTTCTGATATTTTTCTAGGAACTGGACTTAACCAGAATTAGTTCTCATAAATAAATAATTCTGAGTCATTGTACACAGGGATACAGATAATGTATTTCCAATATCATCCTGGTTTCTTGACAGCCCTATATTTATATATTGGATCTCAGACTCCTATAAAACTATCAAAGTCCACAGGGAAATTGTAAGGTTTCTCTGTTTTCTTATTTAAATGTCTCTTGAATCAATAAACCTATCAACGTGCACATAATCTATTGAGGAAGTGGAAAACCTTTCAAATAATACAGTGATTAGGTTAACAGATTATATTAAGACTGAAAAAAAAAACTTTAGATCCACCACATAAAAATATGGAATCTTGGTCTTCCATCGGTGGTAAACACTTTCATCTAAAATTGCAAAAAATTACTCTAATTTGAAAGCTTTAAATATTAATTTGCATCTTTTTAATCATGAGGCACATAAGATATTCAGGACTGAAGACGCCCCCATTTCTTTATTACATTAGGAAGTCTACATGCTTAAAAGATATTACTGTAACATTTGGAGGTAATAATTATATGTTAATTAACTAAAAACTATGCAACTCATTTGTACGCTAGTTGCATAACGGAGCTTAAAAAAGTAAAAAATTTTAATGAATAGGGGCTTAATCTACTATATAGGTATTTCCATTTTAGCAAAATGAGTAACTGCTTTTTTTTTTTAAACTTTTGTTTGGTTATCTTGAGAATGTTGTTTGGGCAGCCATATGCAATTTATGGAGGATTGTGGGTACTGAGTTTACTGCAGAAAAAAAAAATCTATAGGAGTAATGTGCAATAGTCTGAATTTTCTCTTCACTCAGGGGTTGCAGTAAGAGCTCGTTGCCCTCACTATTCACTTAAACCTTTAAACAATGAAATTCTTGTTTCAAACACTTATATATGAAATACAAGGAAATGTCAAAACAAGCATGATCCCAACTTTGAAATAAACTCTGATATCTTGAACCTAGCTCAGATATCTCAAATATCTTTGTCCCCCTGAGATTGAGACACCTAGCTACCAGAAAATAACCATTATTCATTTTGATAACTATAGTTTTTTTTCCCTAAAGTTAGAATTGTTGATATGAGAAGAAATTTCCTAACTTCTTCAATATAAAATTGTTGAATAATTTCCACTTTCCATGAAAATTTAAAAAAAAAAATCATTTCACAAGATTTGGGGTCAGCAAGGAGGAATTAAAAGAAATGACCTTGACATTGAAGATATCCTTATTGCACACTCAGCACATACTTACTTTTTGTCCATTTAAAATCACAACAGAATTAGAATTAACCACCTTTTTTGTACAAATTTCAATCATTATTATGATGTCCAATTTGTGGAGCATAGACATTTTTCATACAATGCTAATAATCCATTTTCATGATTTTGCATTTCCACCAATGGGCATATTTTTTTTTTTTAATTTTCACAAAAATCCCCTAGAAATCTCAGTATATCTTTTCACATTCAAGGTGAAATTTTTTCAAAATACATTTGTATATACATCCTCACATCATGTGCTTGCATATCTTGTTACCTGCAAATAAACCTCTCAATATCTATCTGCCCAGGTAAATGGATACATGTGCCTGAAAAAACAGTCCATGAATATTTGTTCCTTCATGATATCACTTTAATTACACTTTTGATAGCTATATTATATCTTCCTTGTCCAGGCCCAGAATTTAATACCTCGATTCTTAATCCATCACAGTAAATATATACATACAAAGTAGCCAGGTACAAAACACAGGTGAAAAATATATACACAAGGTAGATAAATATAAGACACAGATGTAAATAGCTGACAAGAGAATACCTCAAAGCAAAATGAAAACATGTACTACAATTATCCACATCAAACAAATATTTGATAAAATCTCACCTTCAGCAAAAAACTAAGCATTTGTATTTACACCTTACAGGTAACACATGAGCAGATAGTTCAAAGGTGTGTAATTTGGTTGGAGGATAAAAAAGGTTTAAATGTCATCATTAACCTACATATTGAGTTAAACATTGCAGATGACCAGTGACAATTAATGTGATGCATGTATTTATATTAATTAATGATAATCGTTAATGTTATTATAGTTGATAATGTGCAGGTGGGAGAGAGCTGATTTCACAGGTCAAAAGCTATAATTACAAAGTAAACAATGTAAACACTACATGTGCATCAGGATTTCTCAACTATTGAACATAAAATCAGAAATTAACAGAGCAAAACATATGTCTCTATGCCTGTACTTAATGTATCATATACACCTGTTCAGTCCTAAAAATGTACCACTTATTACGTCATTCCAGAGCTATGTCATCCTGATTTTTGTAAAATTTGGCTGTCTAAAGTTAATTCTACATTTAAGTCGCCCGCAAGCGGAGGTTTAAAAGAAATCCATCTTTAGAAAAAACATACAATTCAGGATTTAACATATCCATTCCAGTTTGATTTTACATTTAGCGACACAATTCTGCATCCCATATTGAAAGAAAATGTGCTGTGAAATCGCAGTCGATGTCTTATAAGAAGAAAACTGGTGATGTAAACAGAATGCGATCATAAAAGAAACATAGATGGTTGTATAATTGAGGATAATGACAGTGTCTCATTTGGTGATCTTGACACTCACCAAATTGACTGAAATACATGAAAATTTTGTCTCGCTTATGAATACCAAATAATAATCTCACAATAATAAGATATAAGATGTCACGAAAATAAAGTGATCGATCTCCAGTTTGATTTTGTTTCCTAATTGAATTATTCTATCTTTGAAAAGAATGGAATTTGTGGATAAACGAATATGGATAAAAGGCCTTATTTTTTATTTCTGCAAGGTAGACTACTAGGGGCTTGATTCCATAGACCTTAAAATATAAGTACATGTAGTTTTATTACAGCAATTCTTATCGTTCATTTTGTCTACACGAAATAGTAAAAAGTCTTCCTAGAAGACCCTTTTTTTTTGCCCAAATCTCTAGAATCCAGAAGCTTCCTGGGGCTTCTTCCCCTGGCCCCCCACCAGGGCTTTGCCTCTAGGCAGCCCCATACATTTCATATGTACTGACTGTACATGAAATATCATGTATTTTTGACCCCATTCATGGGATCCAGGTGGTACACTAAAAATGCTAAAATTCTAAATGCTGCAAAAGTTGCTTGCAATAATTTATTCACACTATATACATGAGGAGGTTCATTTTTTGATTTAAATTTTGGTTATAAAATGAATCTTTTATATTGATTTTTGATTGATATTTTGTATAGTTTTTTGATGAGCAATATACAGTACCTTCACATAAATTTCATAACTTTCAAAGTTCCTGTACAGTATTTAGGTCTAAAAATTATCATATATATGAGGCAGCCCCCTTACCCCTGCTAATCAGTCCCCCCCCCCCCCCCCTTTTCAAATCCTGGTTTTTATCAATTGAAACATTGTAAAATAACTTCAAGCAAAGTTTCGGTAAGCTATTTATAGCATCTTACCTGATCAAGCTCATTAAGAGTTAATTCACCTTTCGATCAATGATTTCATTCAGGAATTTCCCACAATCTCTGTACTACATATTTAATGGCTTATCTCTGGTATAGGGGTCCAGGATTTTACAATCACGAATAACCATGACGACTTGTTTATCCTAATGTTTACATGTGTACCATTTTTAACTCCAAACCAAACAACAGACATACATCATAGTTCGAAGAAAACTCATTAAATTTTAATTTATTTCATTTGAAGATAAATTTTTGACATGACAGTTCAACATGTGTTGGGAGCTGAGACAAGCTAATAGTCGTATTGACCAGGTATAGAAATCTGTGACAATATTTCCTAACATGGGGAAAACAGGATCAAAGAATTTGAAGCATTTAGCAAAACTTTAACAAGAGGCTCACGGGTGTTAACGGTAACCAGAGGAACTGCAGCATCTATTGTTCAATGTAACTTTAACCTCAGTACATTTTAAGTACAGGACTTGAACCATAAAGCATTTAAGTAATTCTTCAACACAACTTTCTGTCCTAGATCCTAGATGCATGCCACTCTATGAGAAATTATTTTTAAGATGAAATGCATTTTTACTATATTGTGCATTTTGCTCTGCCCTGGGGCCTTGAATAACAGTTATTTGCTTGTCATTGCTATAAACTCATTTTGTCTCAAAGAACCTGTTTGCTATATATGGTAAAAGAAGATTTTTAAACATGAAATAGTCATAATTAATTGCATATAGCCTTGTCCTTCAACCTGGACACTTTGGGAAGGGTTCATCAATGAGGCACCTTTGCTTGGTTTTAACTATGTATTTCACCATGTCTCTTATGTAAGTCTATGCTTGCTAGTAAAGAAGAAATTAAAATTTTAAATGTTGCATTCTTTTATGCCATTTTAATTCCACCCCTATGGCGGTGGTGGTGGTGGTGGTGGGGGGGGGGGGGGGATAGTAAGTTCACAACTTTTGTAGCCCAATAATACAAATAGAGGCTCCACACTGATTTCAGTTGAAATTTGTCCAAACAGTTCCAGATTAGAATTTGAAATCATTTAAAAAGTTAATGGACAATGACGGTTGGCCAGTGACAGCAATAGGTCACCCAAGTGACTAAGGTGACCTAAAAAAAGAGATGAAGGTGGCTCAGATAATCCATAAAATCAAACAAATCATAAATGATCATAAATGATAATTATCACTAGTATGTTTGTTCTTTAAAAGACTAATTCAGATTACCAAACTTCTAAACAGGACTTTCAAAGGGTATTTTCCCACTTGCTACCTTTAATCAACTCCCTTTTCCCTCTCATTTTCATTAGCTGGTCTCCTCTGAACTTTCTAATAACTGGCTCCTACACTCAAAACAAGCTCAGCATACTATCAACTTAAAATAAATTTGTTTTTCATCATAAACTCCACTGTGGGCTATTGATCAATGAATCCTAATTCTAAATAATAAAAGACTTGACAATAAGCAGACATTGTATGATTGTTATATCCAGTCTCTCCAGGCTTTCAGGCCTCTGGGAAGATAAACAATAAATCACTAGATTAATGTTCAGCATCAGAGACAATATATTAATTCCTGGATCTCCATAAACCTTTCCTGAATCATCTGTGCAAGCTGTTGACAGTTCAGTGTTGTGTCTGGTAATTCTAACCATAACAACAAAAAACACCTCTCCCTACAATATACGGTAGCGGACCTTGGTGTAAATATGTAATCATTTAAAAATTTATGATTATGATTAGCAATAATACTGACGGCAATATAGGTAGCATCATATGTAAAGTGAAAATTGGAAAAGCAGTTATACATCAAGTCTACCAAAAACCAAAATGCTGCACAGCTACAGTGGTTTAAGCCAATTTGAATTTTGGATTAAATTTACAAAAATAACTAAGAAGCAATAGACCAATTCAGTACTTCAATACTTTAGCACAGGCAATACAGATCCCATATTTCTTGCAATCTATTGTGGTATAAACGCACAGCACTATTTGGCCAGATGAAATAGGTAAACCATGTTCCCTCTATGGTAATTTTATCACCTATCTGTCCCCTTCCCGGTTATATGATGGATCAACTAGTACATGTATTGTAAACAAATGGGAGTTATCTCCCCGAACAAAAAAATTTCAAAATTCTTTGTACTTAATAAAAATAAATAAAAGATCCACAGTATATGTATACATTATGAAAGTATTTTCTCAGCATTCATTAGCATCCCCTTCCCTTCTGAGTCAGTTCTTTGACATTACCTTGCTCAACCATTTTCTCCTTTTTTGAGTGCTGTACTCGAGCATTGAGTTTCTCGATGATCTCCTCTTTAGTGTTTTCTTCATCATAGTCGGGTCCCCACTCAGACTCACTTGTCGTATTGCTGTGTTGGCGATGGTGACCCTTCACAAACATTGAAGGAGCCGTAAAATAGGATCTGTCTGGACTCTCGTCCGTGCACTCATCTGTGGAACACTGAGACGAGCTGTAACTCCTAGGAGGAAGTCTGAGGGTGTCATGAACGTCGCAACTCAGCGGCTGGTCCAAAGTAGAACTCTTTCTTCGGAAATTCTCCAGGAATTCGTCAATGTCATGTTCCACTTTTGACACTTGTATCCCTCCAGCCTTTTTAGATTTTGATGACTTGGACTTCACTGTATTTACATCTCTTTTCCCTGTTGCCATGGTAATAAAAAGTTATCAACAGGAAGTTAAGGTTTGGTCTGCATTGTTTTCATTAATCCTTGATCCTCACAACACATTGACCCAATTTTTTAAAATATGTAATGCAAACTAAGACTCAATGCTCAAACATGGGCACAATAAATGTATCCTTCATGGTAATACTGCTGGTCCCCCAAAAAATTGTGTCCATACAAATGTTGCCAATTTTATTGCTTTTTACTTAATACATTGTGTGCACTGTTGAATGCTTAAAAAATCAATGAAACTGCAGCATCAAGAATTTCTGGAAAACATGGTCATTCAAGGCGAGATATTTATATCCAGAGATTGCACTAGCATCCTTATTTATAAGCACAAAATATAAAATCTTAGAACTTTTTCAGGGATGCACATAATATCCGTTTTAGTTTTTTGATGTTGACTGACTGATGTTGAAAGCTGTACACACTACTGTGATGACTCATTCCTCCATGCTCTGATGGCCATTACAGGTAACTGACTCCCAAGGTGACAAACCAAGCATAGCAGCCAGTCCTTCTCAGAATCTCAGTTCAAACAGCTTCTCTGAGATCAGGCCGCCAAAGGGAGTCAGTCACAGAGGAAAACTAAAGTCACAGTAAACTTAAACGTTTCAATTCCAGTCAAGAATGACAAATGAATTTAAAATGTCTTGTAAAAGTTTTATGTCTGCACTACATGACAAGAGAGAAGGTGTATCTGTGATGCATTGTGATCTGTAACATTAGTGAGGGACATGAAAATCTGTGTTACTTTGGGGCGATTTTAGACAGAGAGGTTCCTATTCTGTTCTCTGCTAGACAGCTGACGTCCTGATCAATACGGCCATGTTACAGTACCTCTGAATAATGCTGTATTTATATCATTGATCTAATGTATCAGCACGGATTTAGTTTACATATATAGCTTGTCTTATCCATGTTAACGGGGAAACAACATTAAGATAACTTGTCTTCACGTTCCATCAAATTGTCACAGTCACTATATTGCTTATGGTTAGAAATTTTTAAATCAGATATGAAGTCAAGCCACATAGTAGAATCAGAATGCAACTGAATACTTTCATTTTCTTTAACTTTATAGCAAAGATTCAGCACAACATTTTCTGAATCAGCAAGAAGACATGATAATGTTACCTCTGATATTCAAGTTCCCAAGCTTATTGTTTACTGCTAAAGGCAATGTACTCCGAGGTTTCGAACTTCTGACATTCACACATCATACTTTACCACTTCACCATTCTCTACAAGACAGACACACTGCCAAATTCTGTTCCTGTCCGTCTTTCTTGTCAACAGTAACCTTTGTCTTTTTTCATAAAAAGAATACCAACATGTCTATTGCCCTATTGAGGTATCAACTAAAATGTTTAAATAATCCAAACCTAATATTAATAACCTTTATATAAATTTACCATTGAATTCAAAGGGAAAACATATTACAAAAATCTAGTTTTTATTTGATAAAGTGTTTACCTATAGATATCTAAGTAACTTGAACAAGGAAAAAATATGGTGACTAATTTAGATGACTTCATGACTTTCATAGATAAAACCTGTTTAGCTGAAAGTACGCAGCTATGTTAAGGCTTCCCGAAGCTTTAAAATGCGCTCAAAACATAATATTTCACTGCGAGGTCGGTTTTGGTTTTAATTTCTAAGTTTTGTACTTTAGTACATCCAATTTGTATAGAGGGTTCCCTCGGCTTTATATTAACATGTTTGTTATGATATCACATGACTTTGTTGATCACGTGACGGTCATTTATAATTTTTCGAAGTGCTTCACATAAATCGCTTCGGCGCAACTGATTAACACAATAATTATTAACATTTTGTTATATAAATAAACTCATCGTTTCCTTGTGTATCCGAAATGTGCTTGGGAAAAGTCATAGTATTACTTGGGTACAAAATGTATCGTGAGGAATTCAACTTACCTACAAATTTGAGGGTATTTTCCACAAAATATTGTAATCTGTATTAAAACAAAGCCATCACACATTTTTCCCAAGCAAGATTCAGTTAGAGAACAACCTCTTCTTACAGATTTTCACAAAAAATCTCAGATTAATCCTCATTAATCACCTGCGCCAGACTATTTTATACACACAAAATAAATTCTACCTCAAACCACGGGGTACATTTCAAAAGGAAATTTTTCGAAAGCATTTTGAACATGATGAATTTCAATCAAGGGTACGTAAGCGATGTATTTTTAAAATATTCAGACATATAAGACTTAAAAAACCTTTAACGACCCTTGTATTTTGCAAAAGTTATCTAGCATTTTACATGCAATTTAAAATAAAGTGTAAAATTCATGACACTCTCCCCGTCATAACACCTCAAGTTGGCATTGACTTGACGTCATTTTCCATTATGACGTCATATTTTGGTAGTTCAGAGGAGTGAAGGGACAGAGTGCACTGTGATTTTCTATGGGAAGCCTTAACCTACCTGCGTAAGAGCTGAACAAAATTATGTGAATACCAAAAGTTCATTTCCTCTGAAAACTTAGGACAGAATCCACAAAACAAATCAAACAGCTTTGGTCTTTCTGACCAGACAACCACAAATATTATAGATATATATATTTTTCATTAAATAAAAAATAGATACAATTAGCTGTTAATATGAAAATATGTCATATTCTGTCTCCCGTGAAGACATATTCATAAGTGTCTGAATCACTTAGGAATGGATCAAAGGCACATTTCTTTCTTCACTATTCATCTTCACACTATTCACTTCATTTGACCGGCCCTTTCTCTTTACACCCACCCAATTTTTTCCCCCATTTTAAACATGACAAATAAATGCATCTTGTTGCACATGGAATAAATATTCATTGCTTAAAGTTTACAGTGATATATCCATTCATGTGGCTTTAAAATGTAAACTATGTATGTAAATGTGTATTGAGTATTTGGCTTTACACTTTTTATTACAGTTTTAGGAACATGAAGTCAGAAATCTATCAGTGATGTAGATTCTTATAATGTATGTTAAGTGGAATTAATTGTTTTAGCTCATACTGATTTTTTTAAATCAGTTTTAATTTTAAAAGTTATGAGACCTTTTCTCCTTGTACAAGTCTATATGTAAACTAATAAAAAGTTGTCTGAATCCTTCAGGTAAATTAAGAACCCAAAATTTGACCAACATTATAAAGAAGACCCAAGACCAACATTTGTTTTAAATTTTTTTTTTACTTGGTCTGGATTTTTCTGAAAACCTTCTCACCAAGGGATGTAAAACAGAGAATTAAATTAAATCAACCTTTAATTTGCATATATGATATTTTGCACAATTAAAATTTATTTTTGACCTTATTCGTCATTTGGGTAACCTAGATTTATTTGGTTAAAGTTGAGGTAGAAGTAGCTGGATGGTTCCCCTCTCGACAGTAAAGACCTATGCTTCTAAATTATTTCTTTCACTTTCCCCACCAACTAATCATCTGTAAGTATTATTATGTTGAATTGATACCTTTGCACAAACAGTTCATGTTTAATATAAAACATATACAGTGAAACTTGTCTAATTTGGGTGTTGTGTAATCCAAAATCTTGCTTAATGTTAACTTTAAGTCCATTTCAGTAAATTCATTTGTTTAAATGTTGTCTAATCCGGAATGATGTCTAATCCAGCCACTTTCTTTGGAACAAGTGGTGTCTGGATTAGACAAGTTTTACTGTACTATTATGATGTTATCAGTGGCGGATTTAAAGGGGGGGGGCACCCCCCTTAAAATTGTCAAAGTTAGCGTAAATCATAGTTTAGTCGAGAAAATGTAAAAATTTCTACTTGGTAGACCTCATTTTTACCTACAAAAATCTCTAGAATCCAGGAGCTTCTGGGGGCTGCGGCCCCCAGACCCCCTGCCTAGTTTTTGCGCCCCCTCTAACTTCAAATCCTGGATCCGCACCTGGTTATATTCACATAATAGTTTTCTATTGCATGGTTATCTCTCCAGCAATTATTGCAATGTCTCTTGCTCTTGTTTACATATTCATTACCCTTCCTTTCTAATTCTTAACTCTAGCTGCAACCCCAGAAACCATTCCCAGATAAGCCTACAGGTAGCATAGCTTTCACCTTCACTGACATCAGCATGGCACAGGTGACTGACATTATGTTTATAAATAGAACCCTAGGAGACTGATGCATAAAACATGTATGTAAATATGTACATAAATTTCATTTTATTATAGAATCATTGTCCAACTATGTAGAATTTTATCTCTCTTAGGAAAATTTATACAATAAAACACAACTGCAATTATGTCCTTTTAGCAGTGTTTAGTGGTAGTACATCACCATAAAATTGTGAGAGAACAAATTGTGACCTTGAACTTGAATGTTAATTTCAGCATTTTTCTAAATACCTGAGAAAAGATTTCAATGTTACAAATTTAGAGAACATGAAAACTTTCTTGCCTTAATCATGACTAGAGTACATGTGTATATATAAGGAACAATTAAGCTCATTAGGTTTAGACATTATTTATTTAGAAAGTTCATTCTCAGTGGAAGCTCAAGAAATTCAGAGAGAACACATTCATTCAGAACTGACAAGCTTCCCCACTCCCCACCCTCTCCATGCCACCTCCCAGACAACAGCTTATTCCAAAGTAGTTGTAAGGTCACCTTGTATGTCTTAAAACTCCACAGATCTGATAACCAACAATTTAAAGGATATCTTGTTGAGAGGCTATAGGATTCATAAACATATAAGTGAGGGCAGGAGGTGTGTGGGGGTAAAGTTGCCCCCCTTTAATGAGGTGCAAATGATGTATCAAATCTATTATCACCATTCAAATGAAAACTGCTTTTCATGGGAATTCCAAAAATTGACTTTCAATTACTTATGTTTCAATGTAATGAATTAGATATCATTTGATGAATTCAGTAAAAATGATGACTGGCATGATGAATTAATAAAGGATCAAATTATGATGTTATTATATAGTTAACACATTCACCAACCCCTGAACAATTCAATTAAACAGCCTTTATTCAGCTAATATTAGCAAATACATGTACAGTGGTACCTCGGTATATTGCCCTCCGTTATATTGCCACCCTCGCTTATTGCCAGGAATTCTCGAAGAACGGATTTCCCCCTGTGTTAATACACCCGTTATTTTGCCATTCCCGCTTATTGCCATCCGCCACTGGTTTTGGGAAACAAAAGGTCAAATTATGTAAGGAAAACACTCGGTTACAATGCCAATTATCTAGCGCGTGTCGGTAATTTGGACACCACACCCGTGCTTTGACAGTGGTTGCGGTGAAGCGTGACTGGCTGGACAAGGAATTTAGCGAAATTAAAGATAATCGTTGTATAAAACTCAAAAGTAGCAATGTCTTTGGCGTGTGTTTATAAGATAGAAGATTATTTCATCACAATAATGCAAACGTCAGGCGAGAGAAAGCGTACAAGTTTGGATTACGAAAAAAAAAGATTGATCAACATTCGATCTATTTGATTGTAAATAGCCGATTATTGCTTATCATGGATAATGCACAAAACCACAATAAATGCAAGAATTAATTTGTATCCCCTTAGATTAAGAAACCATTCTGACATGCGACTTACCATTCGTCAGTCATGATGCTTTAACAAACGAACTTTTTAACTGATTCAGAAATTCTTGAGACGCTAAAATAATCTACTTTCAATTCAGATGAAATTAATGAAAATTCTCAAAACTTTTTTTATACGAAGAGGCCATAACAGCCACTGATATCTTTTGTCATTGGTTGTTAAATTCTTGGAGCATGACGAAAGGAAATTGATGTGTTCAATATTCTGGTATTTTATTTCTTTTCAGTCAATATATTGTAAACAAAGAAAAAAAAAACAATATTAATGACTTTTTTCCCCAAAAAAGAAATGAGAGCTGTCCCTGTACACATGTAACATAAATAGATTGTAACTGAAATAAATTACGTAATATATTTATTTTGTTTTGATAACCAACTGAATTGTAATTTATGGCAGAATTCGTTATATTGCCACCCTCGCTTTAATGCCAAAATCTGTATTGGACAAAAGTTGGCAATATACCGAGGTAGCACTGTATGTCACTTAATGTTTATTTTACTAACACGTCTAGCTTGACTTAAGTTTGCAGGTAATTAATTAGGCCTACTAGCTCAAATTGAGATTCTTCAAGAATCATATTACAATTCCTGACAACTAAAAACTATATGCTTTCATTGATAAAAATAAGATAATGATTCACAGCATCCTAGAACAAATCGATGTCATCTTAACAGTAGCGGGAAAATCGATGACACGTATACCTGGCAAAATAATGAATGAAAACTCACTTGAACTTTGATAAATGATCCTGGGTTACGTGGCTATAACCAAAAATATTCAACGATATTTCTTCTTGTCTCTAAATTTGTCACTTAAACACATCTTAACGTTCAACTACTATGAATACACACCTTCCTCCTACTTCAAGTTCAAAACACCTGCGAGGTCAAAGTTGAGAAGTCGCACTTCCGGTTTCTCCCACAATGCAACGTTGTCAGGGACTCCATTTTCACTTGTTTTGATGAAGAGGTAACAAAAACCACGTTTTTAAGATGACTGACACTGCTGTTGAGGACACGACCACTAGTAATACATATATCATACGACCGAACTTCCAGCACAAGTTAGTATTCCGCGTTTTTTTTTTTCATTTAAAGATGTAAAAGTAGGGCAACTGGTGAACATAAGTGAGCAAGTGCTTCATTAAAGAAAGAATACAGTACCTGCAGTTAAAAATCTCAGTCATAGTTTAAGGTATATATTTTTGATGCTTTGGATTTTTCCAAGTGTATAAGATAACTTCAAGAGACTTCAAGCCGGACGAAGTGGCAGATTGGGATCACATTTTATGTAAAGTCATGCACATGTTACATGCAGAACTGCAGCTCTGTTGGGAATAATTTAAAATATTCGAACAACCATACATGTATCATAGAGCTACAGGTCCACCCATTGAAGAATTGATTTACCACAACTTTTTCCATGTGCAATTTTGGGTATTATTTTTCACAATATGTATTCCCTCGCCAAAAGCATGGTACAGTGTATCAGTCAGTAAAATAAAATATATATTTTACCTTCCTTTATTTCTTTATCTTTCAACAGTTTTAAACAGCCCCATATGAAGTCTTAATATCACAGTTTCTACTCCATTACATTACAATATGAACAGGCATAACTTTTAACTCTTTCACATGTTAGGCCACATAAATTTAAACTTTAGATTCTCATCCTAATATTTGCTTAAAAATTGGGGCGAGTGGGCAGATTTTACTTTTTTAATTGAAAATAACACATAAAGGTTTTTCTTAAACAATATTTTCACATTGCCACATTGTAAATGCCAATATGGATAAATTTGAAATTATAGAAAATTCTTCTTTAAGGCTGTTCAAAGTAAATTCTACGTTTAACGTCACCTCTAAAGTTCAAAACCTATGAGGGAGGGAGGAAAAAAATAAACAAACAAAAATTTTAAACAATTGTGAATTTATTCAAATTAACCTATTCAGTACACAAAAAAAAAACACTATTGAGTAATAAGAATATTGGATATGACATCTAAGTCTAATTTCCCAAGCATAGTTTTTCCTTAGTATGTATATTGGTTTGAATCCTTTTGTGAGCAAACAGTGTAGACTAAATGTGCAAGAGAGTGGCTTTTAACTAGGCCTCATTTGTCATTTGGATTTATATAGCCACACGTCCATGGTACCCTGTAGGGAAATGCTTCTTCTAGTGGGAATAGTTGATCGATATCTACTGTACAATTAAAATTATGATGACAATATTTAATATGTTCTTAAATTAAAAATATCTTGAAATTAAATTATGCTGTATTTTTACTCATAGTACAGGGCTCGACATTAACGCTTGTCCGGTACCAGTGAAAAAAAAATACAGACAAGTGAATATTGCTGGGCACTTGTCCCATTGGACAAGTGCATTTTTATGTAAAGAAGTCTCTAAATATTTAAGAGAATGACTGTTGAAAGTTTACCGGTACTTTAAGATGGAAACAGTACATAAAAACCGAACTTCGATCCCGATATAGATCGCTAATGTAATTGAGTACACTGGATCGGGATCGAAGTTCACTAATTGCATTCTGATTCTGTTTTATGTTGGCAGCATTTATGTTGTCAGGACAGAAAGTCTAGATAAAATTTTGTTTTATGTGTTTGTTGTATTTATAAATAACATCATGCACATGTAATGGACTTTATTTTTAGTTTTTCAGTTAACAGTATTAGATCTTTATTGAAAATTTTTCGGACATGTAAAAAGTTTTGCAATTCTCTCAAAATACAATGAATAGTTCAGCCAATATAATCACGAACTAAGAGTCTGTAATACAAAGACTGACAAAAAACTTAACAAACTAGACTTTGTCATTAACTTCAATCATGAAACCATCTATTTTTTTCTTACATTTATGATCCCATACTGTTTAATTCACTAGTTTTCTTTTAATAAGACACCAACTGCGGTATCAAAGCACATTTTCTGTCACTACGGGATGCAGAATTAAGTCACTAAATGTAGAACCAAACTGGAACAGATATATGAAATTCCGAATTGATTGGTTTTTTTTTCAAAGACGGATTTCTCCTAAACCTACACGCGCGGGTGACATTAAACGTAAAATTAACTTTAAACAGCCTTACAAAATATTCACAGTTTACACACATACTGGCGGTACGGCACATGCAGTGCACTTAATTGCTGCTATGAAATGAGGCGTGGGTCCCAATATATATAGGCCCTAAATTGCACGTTGTTGCTCTACATGGTAGTCACCACTTCTCATTGGCTTGCTCCAAACACTAGTATGTTTTATTTTGACCAACAACTTTTTTTTGTAAAAAAAAATTTACAGATTTCCACTGTCCTTAAACAGGTACATTCAATTTTTCATTCTTGACACATTCAGTATTGTTATTTTGCAAACCACTTTACCAGTGTCTAAAATATTGTATAAAATAGCCTATTCTGAACATTTCCTTAGAAATATTATCATCTAAATTTTCTTTTAAAATACAAAATAACATACGACTGCCAATCACTGCAAGATTATGTAAATTTCTTCGTATGTTTTGCTATTTTAATCCTTAGTTTCTGTGAGTTTAAGATAGATAAATGCTGTCTCATTTTGTGCAAGATCTATAGCTGATGCCATTATCTCAGCCAGTGTGAGCTAGATAACATCAGTTGATGATTTTTGTGTGAAATAAAACTCATAGTGCTGGTCATGCTCTCTCAGCACTGTCTCAGGGATCACCAGTCTAATTAGAATTAGACACTAGTCTACATTTTATTATTTGTTTTGCTGTAGGATGTAATTTTAATTAGACTGCAAGGATCACACCTGTTGATGGTGTTTCAAATATCAGTCCACTCACTGTGAGATATACCTGATGCTGCTCTTTGGTTTTTGTTTTATCAAAACAAATTGATGTTTTTCCTGAGCTAACAACTTTTGCTTATAAAAAATTAAATGCTATCTAAATGCTATAGAAAATGCCATAGTTAAAATAAATTTAAACTGTCTGTTACCCTGGCGCCTCTCAATTCACAATTTTTAGTGGGGACTAACTGTCACAGTCCCATTGTCCAATAAAATTCTAGAAACATTGCTTTAATGTTGAAGTTTTACTTTCAATTGAATGAGTTTTATGACAACTTATTTATTCAACTATGGAACAATGTAACCTTAATATTTGGCACTGTGTACTAGCTATAGGTGTTTATTTTAGTACTTGCTCAGTTCACTGTTGTCTACTTCACTTTTGCCCACAATTTTCAACAGCTTCATTCAACCTACCCATACCAAAACACGTACAGCAAAGACTCAAGAACAAAGATTGATCACTAATACCATACACTGATAGTATATAGGTAGTACTTAGTACTTGAGGAATGAGGATACATTTGGCAATGGTTGTTACAAAGTATATCTGGCTATTTGTTATTTCACATCGTTTTGTTGATTGAATAAAAAATATGTTAACGACAAGTCTACTCTATGTAAATCTGTTTTTTTTTAGGTTTATCTGATATATTGGGCATCTTGTTCTTGCCTCTCATGATTAAAACAAGATAAATTCTCAAGGCCACACACCTCCACGGAGTTAAAAATAAACCTGACACAATTCTTACAACTCAATACAATATATCATTTACAATATTAAAACAAGGGTAACATATGCCCTCCCCTGCTGAGATATGTTTCTCAGGTCTAGTGTTTGATTACAGGGTACTTTCTTTGTGGCATGTTTTAAGTCTTTTACTTCTGTCATAGCATTTTACAAATATATTATATATACACAATTGAAAAACAATTCACACGAGATAATTAATTAGATTCATATGATTTTTTTTAGGGAAAAATTCTCAGAACTAATAAGTATGTCATTGAAAAGGGGGAACTTTATTTCTTATGTATACACATCAGAATATGTGGTTGTATTGTAGGTTTAGACCAGTGATTGTGAAAGAAACCATACATAATGTACTGAATGAGCACCTCAGTGGGAAAAGTTATGATTCAGAGGAAACCACAGAGTGGACACGACAGATATCAGATGATATCAAACTAAAGTTAAAAGGTAGATCAGATATCAGATGATATCAAACTAAAGTTAAAAGGTATAGGTCAGATATCAGATGATATCAGAGTAAAGTTTAAAGGTATAGGTCAGATATCAGGTGATTTCAAACTTAATTTAAAAGGACAGAATTTATATGATATCAGTAAAGTTAAAAGGTAGGACAAATATCAGATGATATCAAACTAAAAGTTAATATCAGACAAAGGTTGATATAAAATAGATCTTTAATTTATGAAATGAAATGTATATATATAATAGCTTGGATGCTTTACTACTATTGTGCTCATGTTTAAAATAAACACATACATGTAAAGAAAGTAATAATAGGAGATCTTAGATACAATCTTAATAAAGGATTTATCACTTTCAGATCTTGGATATGACAGATATAAGTTTGTTGTTCAAGTGGTTATTGGAGAGCAGAGGGGAGAGGGGGTCAAGTAAGTATGGCAATATTCTGCAGCGTTTAACTTGTGAAGCTCAAAAGAATAGATGTGTGTTTCTCTCTGGTCAACCACTTAAACAAGTTTGACTCAAACTTGTCAATTGTTTAACTCTTGTGTCCACATTCTTAAGAAGATATCATAAATTTCACTTCGATCTTTTCCCCTTTGATCTCAAATGAATAAGATTTGATTTCTCATCATCTATCACCTCTACAGCAAGCATGAGGTGAAAGGTCAAATACCCAGTAGTTCCCCATCTATTGTGTCCACTACATGGTTAGGGACACACAGAAATTACAGGCTAGTTACTTTATCCCTTTGCAACTTTGTTGAAAGAGAATAAAAGATATTTATACATCTATTATATATTGTGTCAAAGAGACCTTAAGAAATAATCTGTAATATGTAGAATCTTCCCCTATCACTAGAAAGAGATTTAAGTAACAATAACTCTGTGTTTGGTTATTTTAAATATTTTTATCTTGAGCTGTAAAGACCATTAGGTGGATTCTTAAATTATTTTTACATTTATCATTGTAGAATGGGATGTAGATGCTTCTGGGACTCAGATACAGACAGCTATGCTCAGGATATATTTATGAATGTAAGTGAGGCATCCAATTTAATGAGGAACATGTATGAATGAGTCAACATTTGCCTGTTAAAGTTGTATGTAATAGTGGTGTTCCAATCATCGACTATAATCGGAAATCAGTCGATTGCTGGCATAATCCAAGCGCTCGATTACAAAATGTTTATTCCGATTAATCAGGTTATTTTTTTTTTATTTTACAAGCGTAATAGTTTTTAAGCCCAATATTCCAGCTGCGACTTATCTATTAACTTATTTGTGTATTGTAATGGTGCAGACGAAAGGACAATTGTATTCATACCCGGGTAACAACGCTCAATCCCGGGTATGGACGTACTTTGGATTCTGCAAAATGAACGAAAAACCAGCTGGACCACCACAGAAAGTCGCTATTCACCCATTCTTACCATTTTTGACAGACTTTGTAAATGTCCGATTATAATTGATAATTAGTAAGTTACAGCAGCCCAATCATCGATTATGAAATTCTTATCGATTCCCATCACTAGTATGTAATATGTGTAAGCAATCAATTAAACGAGTACAAGTTTGATCCAGGAAGCATGCCAATAAAGTGAAATCATATGACAATTGAAGAGCAAATTTCATGATTCACAAATTAGTGAAAAGATACAAAACAATACAATGCTGTTGTTTGTGATTTAGACTTGTTAAGAGAGACCCCCCCCCCTTCCCCTTATACAATTGTGATGCAGTAAAGGATAACAGTCATCTTCTAACTAAGAGAGAGAGAGAGAGATTTTTTTTATATTTAAAGTCAATTTATCAACAGATGGTGTTGATAAAAAAAAATGAAAACCAGTGAAGTTAAAGAGTAAAAAGAAACAAGATTTGACATGGGTCAAGATAGATATTACTTTTAAATAAGAGTTATCTCTCTTACAAAGGGTCACTCCTTAAAATTTCCCTAAATCTTACTGGTTAGTGCATGCATAATAATACATGAATCTTACTGGTTAGTATATTGGTTAAAACAGTGCATAAATCTTATTGGTTAGTACAATGCATAATTTTATTGGTTGATACAATGCATAAATCTCATTTGTTTATACGATTCATAAATCTTATTGGTTAACAGTATGTATAAATATCATTGGTTAGTACAATGCATACGAATCAGGTAGTACAGTGACTAGGTAAAGGTTATTTTTAGCACAGTAGCAATGTTCAAAGTTAATTTATTCATTGACAATTTAATGTTTTTCAGGATTCTATATTTTGCGTGGCAGCAGCATTTGGATGTTTCTACTACTGAACTGTGTGATAAAGAAACTAACAGACTTTTTCAATAATGATGTTGTGACTGTGGATTATAGCATGAACAAGAAATATTTATAGTTTATACATTACTATTGTATTTAAATGTATAATATTGTGAGAAAAGGTGTTTAAAACACTGAATTCTGACACCTTCTTCGGTGTTTAGTGATGTTTAATTATTGGTTTCTGTTAAATAAGGGAAATTTATGATTCTACAATGTCATGACACTGTTTACACAATCCATAAATTTACATTGTTTATTGATGAATTATTAAATATGTAAATTATTAATTGTTTGAATTTGTATTTTCAGTTACATATTTGGTTGATTTCTCTGTTTTGTCTAATACTCCTTGCTGATATATTATAGCTTAAAGGACACTGATCTAAAAAAGATGAATATATTTTTCTGCCCAACTTCTTACTTTATTTTACAAAATCATGAACTTTAGTTGTCATGCTACAGACAATTGGACCTTTATTGAAGTGTGGTCAAATTGCTTTGTCAATACAGATAATTTTGACAATGCATTGGAATAGAAAAGATAACTCTAGCCTTGACCAAGAGAGGAAGTGATGTTCACATATATTAAACTAAGTTTGTCATTTTTCAGCATATTTTACTACTGAAAAAAATTAGGAACACTGAAAATCATCCACCCATGATTTGCAGATATGCATAAAGTTAATATCTGATGTTTTGGTTGCTATTTTACTTCACTATACCAGAGACATATAAAACCATTGGTTTTATATGTTTCCGAATTATTTGGTGAATCTAATTTTTTACGGTTGCTGAATTTCCACGAAAATAACGTGAATAAATTTACATGAAAAAAAAAACACATTCTAAATAAACCTCGGAAATGGGGTGATTTTTGATATTCCATGAAAAAAAGAGCGTCAATGTGGATGAAAGGACATAAGGGTAGTTTGGAAATAAGTTTCTTTTCTGTTATGTAATAGGGTTTCTACGCACTTAAAAGTAAGAACTCGCCGCCCGACTTTTAAGTGTTGATATTTGGAAGCAGATGTGTTTTTTGAACGTTTGAAAAATTTAACTTGGTTGAGTAATTTACAATCTTGAACCCTCTCTGCATGAGAAACTTGTTATCCTCCGTCACAGTTAGTTTAGAGGGAGCTCTCGCCAGGCAAGAAGGGGATACCGGTGGACAGAATTAAAGAGGCTATTATCTACAAGATGACTACTGATCTCCCCGATATTGAAGGTAATTAATTTAGTCAACTTTTCACTGTGTTTTAATATTCGAATATGTTAACAAATCGTTCGTTAAGAAAATAAAGATTAAAACGAAGAAAGTGTAAAGAACGTTTTCTAAAGAAAAAAAAATCAAGTATTTTTATGAGAAGTTTGTGAAGAATAGAGCTAATGTTTTTCACTGTAGCTTTGCATTTGCTTCTCCCGCCTCCACCTTTGTTTAAGGAAAAGGTGGGGGGGGGGGGGATAATTGGCGATTGAGAACAACTTTTTTATTCTCGAATGAAGACTTAATAACCGAACGAAACGAAATAACGATTTTAGAATTAACATTATTATTTATAGAGCATGTACTTTTACTAATACTGGAATGTCCCCCCTCCCACCCCCGCCCGTTTGTAAGGAAGGAGGTTGCGTGCGAATTTTTTTTTTCCGCCAAAGGATGAATTAGAGTAATATTTAACATCCGATCTGTATCTTTATAAAACATTCTGAACACATGTTTATGCCAATTCTTCATTCACAAACTAGATAGAAAAGGTCTGATAACCCTCGCATCCTGCCACCAGGGGCCCCGGGACGGGGGTCAGTCACGTACCTCCAGCAATACCAGACTCCAGACGCTCTTTGATTTCGCGGGAACTTAAACATGCTAGTGTAAACACGGTTTATGAAGTTTTTAGATGGACTTGATCTAAAAGACAAGACGCGCTTATTTAATAATAGAGCGTTTCTTAAATAAATCTCTGCTTTTAAAAATCAAACGAAGTAAGCCTGGTCTTGAAACTGTTACTTATCTTCGTGGTGGGGGTGCGTTCGAATAGCCTAAGGTCAGTCTGTCCTTTTGGCTACCTACAAAGGAAACACTCGATTTCTACTCTTTGGACACAACTTCTCAAACACCGATCACATGATTTGACTGTCTTTCATTGATAATTTTTTTTTTAAATTGCGCGTTTAATTTCTTGTAATAGCAAAGTTGATCCTTTCAAATAAAATGATATATTTATTAAGTAGAAAGAAAAATGCTATGTCCGTCTGTCGTCCACTTGCATAAATTGATTGACAATATATACTTGAAATTTTTTTTACCAGAAAACATGCGATCGACATATGCTGTAAAAGAGGAATACATGTATATATATCGCGATGGTTTCAATTTCACTTTGTTCGCGATCAAAGCATTTTCCGCGAACATTAATTATGCCACCGTGAATATTGTCTATATATAACTGCAATATTCATACACTAAATGCAAGTATACTTTCCATATACCTTACAAAACATAATTTTCCATATTAATTTTCCATATTAATGCATGCGCTGATCTAGAAGGGGTGGGGGGGGGGGGTCCTGGAAAAAATCCGGGATCCGCGCCTATTGTGAAGGAGCTAACTTGGCATTGATAATCTGACATTTGGAAACGCCATGTCAATAACTACGTAAGCCGGATAGACTTATTTTTGACAGGATAAAAAAAATTAACTCGTTATAACGAGATAGTTATCTCGTTATAACGAGTTAAATATTTTTTTTTTGTCTTGTCAAAAATGAGCCTATCCGGCATTCGTAAATAACAAAGGCTGTTTAAAGTTAATTTCCTAAAATATTATATATAATTCAACGTAACTTTATTTGTTTTTAAGGAATATTTCTTTTAAATTATATTAATAATGAAAAATTTATAGTGTCCGCGAAATTAAAAACCACCATGAAATGTGCCCGTAAAGAAAATCGTGAAATAAAGAACACGTGGAGTAAAAGACGTTTACAATTTTCAGACATTGATCTCTCTCTCTCTCTCCCTCTCTCTCTCTCAATGAAGGGGAGAGGCTGAACCCACTATTCCTAAATAATTCCAATGAATAAAATTTAGTTCTTTTAAATGTATATAGCTGGAACTACTTCTGGAGAAATGTAACGAAAAAGTAAAGTTTATATAAAATAAAAGCAAATCGCCTTGACATGAATTTTAACGAATGAAAATAAACTGACAGAATTTTTAGAATCCTCAGAAGGTAGATTCTTTTCTGTCTGAAAGCTCTTCATCTTATTACATAACAAGCCAGTTAGCCTCCGCGCGGAGAACGTGCATCTGATAAGACTCCTACACCGCGCGCTCTCTGCAGTAAATCAGAACTTGGATTCACTGCGATGTAACATGACGGAAAATGAAAGGTTTAAATCAACTTTAAAAGTTTATGTATTTAATCAGATACCTCGCATATTTAAAATTCTTTCAACATAGTAGCATCGCCTCAAATACACAGCATAAATAAAAATTTAATGCATGAGGATCCAAATAAGAATTTTTGTCTTATTTTAGTGAAGAATACTAGTATAATTAAATGAATTAATCAGTCATTTAGACAGGTTAAGTATCAACTTAACAAATTGTCATTCACCGTTCACATAAAAATTATATATATGTTCTGTCCATGTGCAATTTCATGTTTGGAGTCAGATTAAAACAAACAAAAACAAACAAAAACAAAACAAAACAACCAAAAAGCAAACAAACAAACAAACAAAAAACATTGAGGTGTTTGTACTTTATTTATTTTCGATGCAGTGTGCTATGGCGACTTTTTTCCCGAATATGTCGAACTCAGATTTTGTTTATTCTCTGATTATTAGTTTTAAACGTGTTCGACTTCTCTTTTTCAGATATGAAAGAAGTGTTCGATTTGTTTGACTTTTGGGACGGTCGAGATGGACTGATTGATGCCGTAAAGTTGGGTGACCTACTTCGATGTTGTGGATTCAACCCAACAAATGCACTTATCTACAAAAATGGGGGAACCAAGAGAACAGGTACTTATAACGAGAGCGGGTAAAACTTAACCCCCATCCCACCCCAACCCTCAATGTGAAATATCGACGAATAAGTTTGAATCTTAACCAATGCCCCCCTAAAAACACCAATTCCTCTTTACTCGTGTTCACTACAATGTACTTTTGACAATTCTTTACTGTTTGATCCCCACCACTAGCTATAACTCTTTCTTTCCGATGTAGGAGAGAAACAATACACCATGGAGCAGTTTCTATCCATTGTTCGACAGGTCGTAAAAGAAAGGGACACCGGATCTTTCAAGGAGTTCATGGAGGCATTCAAATCTTTCGACAGGGAGGGACAAGGCTATATCTCCCTGGGTGAGGCAAGGCACGTCCTTACATCAATGGGTAAGTGAGGGCAAGGTCTCTGATTCGTCTTATCACTAGGGGGTACCTGTTACTTAGAATCTCCGGCTGTTTTTTAGCTTTCAGAGAGAGAGAGAGAGAGAGAGTAACCCTGTTAAAATGTTCCTTATGAATTTTCTTCTTTTTTTGTATTCTGTAGAACAGTTACACGTACTTATTGTTTCTGGACACAAATAAATGTGTTAGGCTGGATCAATATGCACATAATGTAAAGATACATGTTGATAATATTTTTATATAAAACAGTCTTCTAAATACTTCTGTGACAAAACTAGATTGGTAAATCAAATGTGTGAGATTGCTTTGCAGGCGACCGTTTGACGGACGAGGAGCTGGAAGATATCTTACAGAGCATCGACCTGGATGTGGACTACGAGGGAAACATTAAATATGAGGGTAAGTCAGGGTCAGGGTCAAATATCAAACTCAGATAAATGTCAAGGTTTTACAGGGGAAATATTAAATATGAGGGTAAGTCAGGGTCAGGGTCAAATGTCAATCTCAGACAAATGTCAAGGTTTTACAGGGGAAATATTAAATATGAGGGTAAGTCATGGTCAGGGTCAAATGTCAATCTCAGACAAATGTTAAGGTTTTACAGGTGAAATATTAAATATGAGGACCCGTAAGTCATGGTCAGGGTCAAATGTCAATCTCAAAGATCTGTACAGGGTCAAATTTTAAGGTTTTACAGGGGAAAAAATAAAAAAAATGAGGGAATGTCAACGTCAGCCTTGAGAGATCCCAACGGGAATCAAATGTCAAGATTATACAGAGGAAACATTAAATATGATGGTAAGTCATCGTCAGAGATCTGTACAGGGTCAAATGTCAAGATTATACAGAGGAAGATCTCAACGGGGTCAAATGTCAAAGCTATATACGGAGAAAACATTAGATATGAGGGAACGTCAACGTCATTCTGAGAGAGATTTCAACCGCGGTTAAGTGTCAAGAGTATACAGAGGCATTAAATATGGTGGTAAGTCATCGTCAGGGTCAAATGTCAGTGCCAGAGATCTCTACAGGGGTCAAACGTTAAGGTTTGCTTATACAGAGGAAACATTAAATGTGATAAAAAAAAAATCATCATCCGGGTGAAATGCATCTTTGCTAGCCAAGATTTTCGGTCGGAAATGTTGTAGATAACGGATCAGAAACATTTGGCTAGCGAAGATGGGTCAAATGTAATACCAGGATCAGCCGTTAGAGATAACGATAAAGAATCTAATAAATACAATTGATAGGTTACTGTCGTAGATTTTACAATAGGGTTTGTATTATATAGAAGAAAATCGATAGAAAGGAATAACATATCAGGATTATACATTCTGAAGTTGATGTCGGTGTCAGAGGTCAAGGTTATAGGGACCATATAAAAAGGACAAAGGTCAATAAATGAAATTCAATAGTATTTAAACAAAACGAGACCTAAGAGAACATAATAACGCATAAAACGTTTATAAATGCCACTTTACTGATTATGTAATCTGATAAGCCATATGCCTTAAGGAATAAATAAACAAACAAACAAACAAACTTCGTCGTTTTGTGAAACACGTAACATGACCTGGTGTCGTTAAAAGTGATTATTTTTTGTCTTTGTAGAATTTATAAAGAAAGTCATGAAAGGGCCCCCGGAGGGTAAGCCCGAGTTTACATATTGAAAGGCGAGGGACTCTGGACAGAAACAACGATAGAGAGTAAACGACAGGGATCTTTGAGGTGTTGGGCCAGTTATCCAGAGATAAACAATTATACTCTGTATTATTTTGTACATTAATTGTTACCTGTACAAAAAATCAAACAGACAGTGTCTATCAACATTGACTTTTGTAGATTAGAAATAAGTACATGTATATCAAAAGTGTATTTATTAAATACCGTATAAAGTACAACTGTATATACTTGTATAATTATTTTATATTTTGAATAAAATCTTTGTATGGTAATGTTATATACAGTGGTTTAAAACGATTTAAGATATACCAAGATCGCGACCACTACTACATCAGTGTTCAAATGCGAAAGCTGGAGCCAAATAGGAATGAAGGAAGACCGAGTGCTCCATTTTATTTTTCTTTGTTGAAGTTAAGGTTCATCATCTCTCAATTTCACTCAAATAAAAATTTGCTTTAAATAGCTCTAATAATTTTCCAAAGAAATCAAATTTATAATTAGAATATACATAATTTCAACATACCTTGCGGGGCAAACTTTGACAGAAATTGCCTTTTGAAAATTTTATAAAGGAATAATAGTCATTTACTCCAGTAAGAGTTGTCTTTTTTATCAGAGAATCAATGAACCTTATGCCCTGTTCACACGGAGAGTTTAATTCGCAGTAAATTAATGCGAAGTAAAATGATGCGAATTAAACTAATGCCATAAATAAAATTTTAATTCGCATTAGGTTTACTTCGCATTAGCTGTCGTGTGAACGCAATTTAATTCGCATTAGTTTAATTCGCATCATTTTACTTCGCATTAATTTACTAATCCGTTTGCCAATTATCTTTCCCTTGCATTGAACAAGCATTTAGAGTTATCGTTCTTAAAACACAGAAGAGTTCCACCGGACAAACAAACGTGGTTTCGCTTGACAGAACATACTAATCGATTGAAATGTCACTGTGTTTAAATACCTGTCGTTTACCTGAGTTGCAAGATTATTTGCGAGCAAGGGGCGTTACGGTGTCGGGCTATAACAAACGCACCTTGAGGGAGATCGCAATCGCTGTTAAACAGCTGGATTTACCTGTTGACCCAGATTTTCGTAGAGATTCTGTTTATAATGACATACAATCAAAACTGAAGAAAGCCGGCCTTCCAAATGAAGATCCTTTAAAAATGGATGGGTATACGTCAGATTTTGCGCATATTCCAGATTTCGGACTCATAGATGTTTTTAATTATTTAATATTTAACAAATCTGATTACGATGGACGAAAACTGAAGGGTTACAAATCCTTTGAGGACTACCGATTATTTTATGACGGACATGTAGAGAGTCTGTTGTTTAACCCGCTTCAGGAAACTGATAAAATTTGTCTTTTCAAAGCTAAAGTGAAACCAACACAGAGAGATAAAACATATCTCAATAAAGATTTTTATTCATTGTGGTTTTCACTTGATAAAGAAGATGGTGATGTTATCACAGGGCATTGTGAGTGTTTGGGAGGGTAAGTTAATATACATATATTTGGAGTTCTCATACTTATGTATTAAACTAATATTAAAATTATGATAAACTTAATGAATTCTATTTATAATATTATACATTAATTTTGTAGGTCAGATGGGGCATGCAGACACCTAGCTGCAGCTCTTTATGAGTTGGAGGCATTTCAGGCCAAGTCATGCACTGATGGGGAAAACCAGTGGAAAAAAAGAGCTCGTAAGCATGACATCTCCTTGCCAGTAAGACATCTTACTGTTACGAAAGCCAGGTATGTTTGTGAAGAAGAGCAACATGTACCAGGGAAACCCCACATTGATTTGTTTGACCCAAGGCCATTGGACAAACGACAAACAATGCAAGATCAAGAAAAGAGGGAATTTGGCCTTAAATTACAAGAGGTATCATATATATATACATATATATATATATATATATATATATATATATATATATATATATATATATATATATATATATATATATATATTTGTACAGTAACAGAACTTGTTCAACTTGCTAATAAGTAATAAAAAAAAGTACTTCCAATTAAATCATTTCCTTGCAATCTGTTTTTCCCCCAACATAATATACAACGTGTACATTTTAGATAGCTGCAAATGCCCAGGCTCTTGATATTTTGATTAACCCTGAGGATTTTCCAAACAAAAGTCATCCTGATCCAAAATTGCAAGACCTCGATCAACTATCTATTTCTTACAAAGCAAAGAAATTCATGGAAAGCCATGCTGGAAACATGGACGTTGAAGATTTTTATAATTCCATCAACTATTCCAAAGAAGATATATCCAACATTAATGAATATACCCAAGGACAAGCTACAAATGAAGCATGGTATGAGATGAGGGTTGGTCTTTTAACAGCTTCAAACTTTAAACAAGCCAACAAGTATATCGATGACAAAAAAGAACCATCAAAATCATTTATGAGAAGCTTGATGGGTGAAAATCGAATGGAAGATCACGCCTTACCCGCGCCATTAAAATGGGGAAGGGAAAAGGAAAATGTGGCCCGTGACATGTACTTCAGATTACGGCGTCGCCAACACAGATGCCTGAGAGTAAAAGAAAATGGGCTTCTTATAAGTGAAGAGTTTCCAGTACTTGGATGCAGTGTTGATGGCATATGCACATGTAAATGCATTCCTCCTCACCCACCAAAAATAGTTGAAATAAAATGCCCTTATTCTATGCGTAATGAAAAGCCAAAGGATGTGGCAGTCAAGTCAAAATGTATTTATGACAAAAGCTCTGGGACTTGGATTGTAACTCCAGATTCAGCATATTATGCACAAATACAGGGACAGTTAGGTCTTTATGGTTATGAAAATGCTGATCTGGTTATATACACACAGAAAGGAATTCATGTCTCTCATGTTCATTTTGATAAAAATTTTTTCTCTAGCATGGCACAGAAACTTGTATTGTTTCACAAGATGTATGTTCTTCCTGTGCTGTTAAAACAATAACAAATATATTTTCCTTGTATATTATTTTATATATTTTTCATCTTAATACATAATTTTTCAGTTTTTCATTTATTATATTGTCAGATACCTGGTATTTGAGCAAATAATTATATACTTTAAAATGTAAGATTGAATTGATGATAGACTTAACAGTTGAACTCTGCTTGCATTAATTCATTTGCAATTATACATGAATGTATGAAATAATGAAATATAAAGATTACTTAAGAGTTGATCAATACAATTGTACATATTTCATAAATTATATGATCATTAAATCATGTTGATTTTATAATTACTAAACATGCTTCAGATTGATTTTACATTTCATTTGACTAACTTTGAATCTAAATTGCAAATACAGGCACAAACACCCAAAACTTGATCAAATAAAGGATGTAGTCTTAAAGGCATAGTTCCTTGTAAAATTTTAAATGTTTTTAACCTTCCAATGGCACGCTCCACATGAATCCGGGCACTTGCAATCCGTCTTGTCTTTGTCACTGCTCTACTGCTCAACTGTCTACCCATAGAGTAAGGCGGTATATTCAGAGTACATGATCTTCTGGCTAAGAGATCTCGTATTAAAAATCCACGGTCAGCCATAATATCATCTCCATGTTCTAAATATTCAAGATAACCACTTTCCTCAACAATACGTCGGTCTGAAATACTACCAGTGAAAAGTTTAGAAATGAAAGTAAATGATCCTGTGGGAGAAATGGAGATAAGTGCCTTCAGGGTATTGTGGTGTTTATAATTAGACCAGGTTACTCTCTGCGAGGATGGTAAACTTGGTTTCTGAATAAAAAATTCTGTACAGTCTATAATTGATCTGGTCTTTGGGAAATATTTGAATGCTTTTGGTAAGTTAGCTGTTATCTGCTCTTTATTTGGCCATGAAATTAAAAAATTCAACTCCAGATACAAAAAATTTATCCATGTTGTGAAAATCCGACTGATACTCGATGGATGAATACCAACTAAATCACCCAACACTTCTACATCTAACCCACGTTTAAGACGAACCAAAGTGATCACAAATTCTTCTCTCAGTGAAAGTTTCCTCTTTGGACCAGCTTTCCGAGCCTACAAAATTGGATTAAATAGAATAAAAAATACCAAGTACTTATATTTTTATATAAATTGAAATACATTTATAGTTACTTATAACGTATGGAAAAGCATAATTAAATCGATTTTTTAAGAGGGGGGGGGGGGACTCACTCCTTTGAAATCTGTTGTATCCTGTCCCCTCCAGTAGTTCAGCTTTTCTGCTTTTGGTCTAATCCATTGAAATAAGAACAGGAAGATGGACAGATTTAAGCCTGTAATTGAATTTAAAAGAAAAAAACTTGCATGTGATCATAATTTATATGCACCCAAATTTTGTGCTATTTTCCTTAATTTTAAAACATGCAGTGGCACATACATGTACCTGTGTAAAATTTGCAGCTGTTGCTATCCTGCAGTACTGATGACAGAAACAACTTTCTACTCATTTGGTTTCTGTCCATCAATTCCTCGTCAGCATATTTGTGAATATGTTGGAAATGCACACATGTCTGGGTTCCAACATCCGACATTGAAACACATGTTGTCTGAACAAGAGCATCAGTAGAAGTTGTGGTGGTAACTTCTTCTTCCCCTATAATATCATTAAAAAAAAAATTTATTTACACTTATTTCGAAATATGTTGAGAAAAAAATTTGTCATCTTATTGTATATTTAAATGTTACCTGCTAGACATGGAACTTCACTGGCTGCATCAAACCAAATCTCCTCAACCTCAGGTGCCTGAACATAACTTGTAGATTCAAATATTTCATGTCCATGTTCAACACTAGTGCTACTGGAAGTTAAGCAGGTATAATCATGCTCATTTGAAACGGTCTCTAAAATGAATGATTCAATGCATGAATCAGCGCTGTCTTGAGATTCGTCCTCGTCATTAATCAAACACTTTCTAGGGCGCTTCTTAGGTGACGGTCTTGAGGTTGGTGGTTTTCGTTTTTTCTTTGCCGACAGCAAATTTCTCTCAAATTCTGTACTTACTGCTGGTAGCGGGTCTGGATGTGAATCCGAAGGCCCATTTCCTCCGACGAAGTGCTTTGAGCAAATATAGGTCTCTTTCCGAATGCTCTCAACAGTGAAGTATTTCCTTCCGCACAGCCTGACCCAACGTTGACATTTTTCAAGCTGCGTTTTCGGTTTCGGGAAGGGAATAAACTTTACACCATCCATGTTTGACTTCCGTCCGATATATCTCGAGTCGCTATTACAATCGCCATAACAGCAATGTTTTACGGGCATTATTATACGTCGCAGAACACGTGAAAACAATGAACTGTGTCAAGCTTGTTTGTCCGGTGTTGAACCTACTTCCGCTTTATCGCTTATGTGCTAGAACAAAAAGCCCCCTATGCGCTAGGTAATATGCAATTGTGTGAACGCGGATCAAATTTAATTCGCAGTAACTTACGTTTAATTCGAATTAAACTCTCCGTGTGAACAGGGCATTAAATACTGAGAAAACTCGATAAACCACTATTGCAGTATGATTTAGTGCCATGATCAGCTTGACAAGATGACAATAAATTCAGAGGGTCACACTCTGTAAATGTATACAATTATCGCCACAATAAAAATAAAAATTTTAAAAAGAATTCCAATGGCCTGAATCTTCAAGCAATGTCATTTTGTAATTTTTTAATTTACCAGGTGGCAGTAAATACAAGGTTTGCAATATGACAATACAATATGACGGCAATATAGAATTATAATAGTTAGTTGAAGGTTGTAACATGCCTTTTTTGTGTGAGTCCGAATATTAAGACCATCCACAGTCCAAGCATCAAAATATCATGGCTTAAAGAACATTCACTTTTCAGTTGGTTGACCTTATGCAATTAACTATGACATAGAATCATGACATACGGATTCACCTTATGTCAAATATGACCTCTTAATACTCTTCCAATAAAAAGCTCTGTCTTTTAGAATTTTGCATTTCTGAGGTCTTCAAAATTTGCCACTTCTCTGAACTGTGACCTTGACCCTGTATAAATGACCTTTCATCAGAATCATATAACATATTCTATGATCAAAACCAACATTCCGGCAAATATGATCCTTGGAAGTTATTTTATTGTAAAAATTATGTTATGGACAAGAATTGTACACTTTAAAATCCACTGAATTTGATCTTGTCCAATTAACTGTGGTGCAGGGATGTTACACATCCTCCTCTTGAAAACATACTTCGTACCTATAGTACATTCTTCTAATGTTTTTCTCCATATCAAAGTGCATGAAGTGTTAAATATTTGTAAGCCCCCAATGTCAGGAAATACCATTGAGCACAGTGACCTTCATCTCGCCAAAATGACCATGGTACAGGGTCAAGGCACGTATCTTTGGATTCAAGATTAAGTTACCGTGGTATTATGTATTAATTTCTAAATGTTTCCCGATTACAAAGTTATGTCCAAACAAGAATTTCTTTTTTCTGTCAAAAGAATTATGTAATGAGATCCTAAGAATATCTTTCTTCTTAAAAGATGTGCTACAATTATTTTGTTAGTAACAAATAATAACAATTCAGAGTAATAGATAGCGATGCTTGTTTTTTACAGTCTGGCAGATACAACGATTTTACCACAAAAAATAGAATTGTATTTTTAAACTTCATCTCAATTTCTAATTTATCATTAAATGATATGTTAAATAGTCAAGATGACAAATTTTGTGCTTTTTAAAAAGGAATCCCCGTTGTTTCCCTTGTTCTAAAAAAAAAAAAAAAACAACAACAACAAACAAACAAACAAAACAAAAAAAACAAAAAAGAAAAAACGCCTCCTTAAAACAGTATTAATTTGATATGAATATTAAAAGCCTTTTTTCTCCCAAAACTGTCGTTTCCAATGTTTGTTTTAGAGAGGCACATTAAAAAAAAATAATAAAAAATACCCCTCCGAAATGCAAGAACGTTAAATACTAACTAACGAACACTATGTTGGGTTTGGACAGTTAAAAAGGTATGTCGCTTCTGTACCAGAATTTCATAGTTACCAGATCTTTAAAATATCTCTTTTTGAAAAATTGCATGGAATATGAATTCAATATTGATAGACCGATATAAGCTCTTAATAATTAGTTCATCTGATTTTTTTCAGAGAAAATGTAAAAAATTGTTTTGATTGCAAAGAAGATTTTTAGAGCTTTAAAAAAATTCTTTTAATTAATGCATACTGTCAAAAAAGTCAGACATTTAAATCTTGTAAATAATAAAAATATGAAAATGAAAAACACATGTTTAAAATATGGATAAAATCTTTAAGAAACATGCCACGTATTGGAAAGAAATATTAAATAATTGTATTTTAAAAAGAAATTGAAATAAACTTGCAAAACTCAAGAAATACTGATATATGAATTTATAGAATTTTGGACCAATACCGATCGAAATTAACCGATTCTATCTAGAAATATATAAAGTGGAAATGCATAACAATTTCACATGAATACACGGTTGCTCGGGTGTAATAGTTATAATTGAACTTTAAAGCTAACTACCTCAGATAGGCAGTACTGTAGTATTTTTTTCTTATTAATTTTTTTGAATTGATTTTTATTGGGATTGCATAAATTTTGATATGAATTGGTCTGAATTTTAAAATTAGCAAACTTTTCTTAAAATTCGCAGTTTCATTTCGAGTTCTCTTTCTTAAATGCTTCATGCGTATTTAAATGTCTTCGATGTAAGTTTCTGCAATACCCTCTTTTCAGTGACACACCAGTCTGAAAATATATCAGGTGACACAAGTTCAAATAGTATAAATTAATTCTACAGTTTGAAAAAAAAAAGAATTAGTAGTTTCAGAACCGGATCATCAGTGGATAAAAAATATATACAGACGTGCAGACTGACAGACAGACAGACTTAGTATATGCAGACAGAAGGTGATTCCACGATAACACAACTACGTTTGCTGTGCTATAATAATGAGAGTATAATCAGTATATATACAGAATACCAAAGCTAATTATCGGCCGCAGGAGCGGTCGATCTATTTGTGGTTGTGTTAAAATGTGCACATGGGAAAATGAGACGTCATTTTTTTCCATTGCTATGATGAATAAATCCCTATTGATAAAATATATAAAAGTTATGCATATAAGTTTTTAAAATTTGCTTAATACTACGTCTAAATGGTTGTTGTTACAAATCAATTTGTTTTTCATCTGATATGTATTAATTAATTTATGATTTTATAAAAAGTTCATGCATGGGCGTGCTTAAGATATAAAAACAAAATGTATTTAGTTTACGGATATGAACTTAGTTCTTAAAAAAAAATCTTAAATTGTAAAAAAAATTTTAAAAAGAAGTGAATTTGTTTTAAATACATTTACAAATGACACTATGATTTTTTTCTGCACTTCACATTTTTGTGATAAAATGTGAAGTTATTACGTGACAAAGATCCAGAGGGTATCAGCACGTAAAGTGTGTACGTCCCCCCTTTTTTTTGGTCAGCATTCATACATAAATAATTACTAAATTTATTATTTTAGATATTTGTTGCGTTTGTCTTTAAATCAAATAATTTATTGATAATAAATTCCAATCCGATTTAAACAGATATCGCCTTTCAATTTTTTAAATAATTTTATTTTATTTTTTTATTTATTTATTTTTTTTTTTTAAATTTTTATTTATTTATTTATTGGCAAAAATTACTGGGGCGGTCCCTTCGCCGACACCATTGATTTTCATTTCAATGAATTTGAACTATATTTAACTTACAATTAAACACTGAAAATTAAAGTAGAAAAATAAATTTTAAATAATGCATAGAAAAGTATAGGCAAGTGTACAGATTGTATTAAAAGTGTATCATATAGAGCTACATTTTCTATCTTGAATTTTGCCGTTTTCTTTGGACTCTTTTTTGTGGGAATACTTTAAAATGCTAAATATATTTGATGCTTTGCATCAATTAAACTTGAAAACAGTTGTGCCCCTCAATAAGTTTGCCAGTGTATAATATACATTAGGAAAAAAGCTAATTTACGATTGTGTCCCTCAAAAAAAAAGCATGGTCCCCCCCCCCCCCTTCCCCCTTGTTGTTCCCCTTCCCCAAACTAAATTTGCTTCTACGGACCTACATTTTTCTGAAAAAATAATTTTAATTTTTGGTGACCAGATCACGACGTAGGAGTCTTACTTCTGGGTAGGGTTGTTTGAGGTGAAAAACTTATTCCGGAAACAATGCACGTACTTGCTTTCAATTCATACTTAGTCACGTGATAAATTGTTTACTTCCGGCAAGTTGCTTCAGATAGCTTCCCGCCAAACAAAGAATAATTTCAGGTAATTTTGATGCAAGTATTGTACTTGAAAGCATTATTTTGAAAGAAATACACATACCTTTTGTCAGCGAAGCTGCTTTTGAAATCAATTTTTTCAAAACGAATGCAGTTCAAGTGAATTAATACTTGATATCTGCATCAGTTCATCGTTTTCAGTACAATATTGAAAATGGAGTAGCATGTCAAATACGCCTTGGAACGGCTTAGAGAAGAATTTTTTATTCATGTTATATCTTCTTATGAAGATCATATTTATTTTTAAGTTATTTATCAATGTTGGGGCTAGCGGTACTTTCCGAATGTCCTCAGCTCTATCAGATTGAAAAAAAAATCCACATTGAACTACCAAGTGTTAGGTAGCACAGTCTGTTAATCAGGGTGGGACCAATCGCCGAAATGGGATATAATTACCCGTTTGGGATAATATAAAAACAGTGCAAAAAATGAAAAAAATTATTTTGGCAATAAATAATATGTTGACGGTGCGAGTGTAGATATCTATATTCAGTTTTAATTTAAGTCTGAATAAACAGTGCTAATTTTAATTTAAGAGAGGTTTTATTAACAACTATTTATTTGCAAAATATATCCATCAATTCAAGGTGAGTATATATTTTTCTTGGAACTGCTTGTTAACGCAAGAACGTTGTTTGCGTCGAGGTGCAATTCGCAAAGCATTATAGAACCACAGGTTACTAGGAAAAAAATTTGTTTGGATCAATGTGCAAAGTCCAAATTTTCTCTTCGTCCAGGTGTTGCTTTAAGAGCTCGAAGTGACGAGCGGTGCTTCGTGCCGCTCGCTGCGCTCACTATTATCATAAATCCGCATCAAAATATTTTAAAAGGAATACCAAGCAAGGTTTTTTCTGCAACCCTACAGTTTGTTAGATTGATCTCCAAGAAGTTTAGGAACTTCCAAGGGAACAATCTCCTAAACAGTGGGCATACAGAAAAACTTGTAAACAAAGTTATTCCTTTATAAGTATCTTGATGCAGATATATGATATTTATAGCCAAAATAAAAATTTTCATTTTCTGCACGTTAAATTTATATCCCAACTGAGATATTTTATCTATTATATCCTATTTGGGTGATTGGTCCCAACCTGTTAATATAGCAGAACTAAAGTACCGACCGGACACAACCTAACACCAGAGCGAACCCAAAGCGCACCCCGGGTTCGCTTCCTGGGTTCGCTCGGGGTCCGCTGCGGGTTCGCTTTCAGAAAATTTGGGACCGCTCTGGGTGCGCTTCGGGTTCGCTCTGCGTTCGCTCGGGGTCAGCTCTGGGTCCGCTAGAGCGAACCCGGCGTTCGCTTTCCGGGTTCGCTTTACGCACTCATGCGTGAAGCGGACCCCCTTTAATCTTGCCGCCAGTAAGCCCCGCCCCTTGTATATTCCAAATATAGTAGTGAAATCGATCATTACTGTTTTTATGGCGATCGAAACATGTACATGTAAGTGACAATATGGAGAACGTTGATAATTTTTCAAGAATTTCACCGTACATTCGACGTAGAATTATTACTTTTATTTTTCTTAATTTACAAGCTAAGTATATCTCGAAAGAAAAAAAAGGTGTTAAGTGTATTTTCGATGTATCGGATGGAGTGAAATTGATAAGAGTATCTTAATAAAAAAAGCTTTCAAATTCATTTGTTTATATTATTCATGCGTTTTAAAATAAGTTGGAACTTGCAATTGTAATTGCAATTGCTAAATCGTAATTTAAGTGTTTGAAAGACAAATAACTGAATTACGATCTTATCTATAAAATAGCTGTGACATACTGTACACGTAAATTGCTAAGTTTTCATATTTAGCAGTTTATATTTAAGCTAGGTTGTCGTCCATTACATGTATATGTAGGTCATGATACATGTAATCACTAAAAATTCTCATACAGTGTAACTTGAGTTTCGTTTTAAAGATCATTTATAATTTACTTCCATGCTATAAATCATTGTTTTATTAGGCGAGTTTAACGGAAGAAAAAACAACAACAACAACAATCAAAAAACCAAAACAAACAAACAAAAACTAATAACTGGTCCACTGATAAGAATATATTATTTTTTTTAAGTTGTTTTTTAATACATGTAAATGATCACTTGAATAGTTTGTGTTCCTTACTGGTTCATGACCCCCCCCCCCCCTCCCCGCCCCACTACATACATGTACATACTGGAGCGGCATGTTAACAAACAAAATTCTAAATGTTTAAAAATAAATAAATAAAAGAAAGAAAACAAACAAAACAAGAATTCAATAACTGTAAACTCGCATGATTAAGTAGATGAAATTAAGATAATAACGCCCAATGTTTGGTTTTTTGTTTTTGTTATTTTTTTTTCTTGTTTTATTTCGATGAGCCCCCCACCCCCACCCCACCCCTCTCCGTACTTGAATTGTTTTCTATGGGCCGGTTGTATCGATTTTAATTTCAAATAATATACAGTGTTCTCTCTCCCTCTCTCTCTTGTAAAGCTATTTTACTGATTTTCAGCATTCAGGTGGCAGCAAATTACATGCATTGAACATGTACTCTTAATGCAACGTACCAAAGAACTATGACGTTTCCAAATTCAAAAATTAAAAAAAAAATAAGAATAATACAGGTGACTCTCGATCTTTCGAAGTTCAAGGGACCGCAAGAAAAGTTCGAGAGATCGAGGGGTTCGAGAGATAGAAAGTGAATAAAATCCGGAATTTTCAGTTCCGATCATCATTGTTCTACTATTATAAATACCGGAAGTATATGTCGATAATGTCGTTGCACGTTTTCATTCGTATTTTACAGGTAATTCACTTGATTTCAACAACAATGATCGTATTTTGAATAAATAAAACGATCTCTTTAAGTTTCAGTATTTATTTGTTCTCATTTCATAATTACATGAAACCTGAATAACAATCGTCGGCGTGGCTACCCCCAGGGCTTCATCGGCTCCTTCAACAGATTTCTCGTATTAAATGGATATTCAATTCTTCAGATAGGATTTCTTGTGTAGTGTTTGTCATGCTGGGATTATGTAAACTCTAATAAAACTTCATAATCTATGAAAAATTATTGACACGTCTCTTAAATTATTTTCTAAAAATTATCGTCTCGCTGTCAAGTCAAAATAAGTTGTGAAGCAATTCGTTTATAGTTTACCAATTGTAACCAATTAATTATATCAACACTCGGATGCTCACAGGTATAGTGTCATCTATGTAAACACCCAATTAACACCTCCATGCCAGCCCGAGGCGTTCACTGTTATCCAGGTAAGTCTAAGCTGCATTAATTTTACGCTTGATCGGCGTGTGCACACGCGCAATCAAAACTTCGAGAGATAGAGAGTAAAAAACAATGAAATGTGTGTAACGGGACCCAGGTCTTGGTTCGAGAGATAGAGAACTTCGAGAGATCGGAAGTTCGAGAGATAGGAAGTAAATTTGCTTAGTTATATAGAAGAAAAAAACGGGACCGGAGGTTCACTTCGAGAGATCGAGAACTTCGAGAGATCGGAGTTCGAGCCATCGAGAGTCACCTGTAATTGAATTTCTCATTGATAACGTGCCCAGACGAGGTACATGTAACTTAAGAGGCATCGAATGTAGGGGGAGTATATACTCAGGTATACCGTGACCATGGAGACAGTATACATCCAGCTAGAAAGTGTCAATAAAAAAACCCACAGCAATTGCTCTTAATACCCGCGATATTTTCGAAACAGGTGGATGATTACCGATACGTGATGACCTTGGCTTCACTTTGAAACTACAATTATTAAAGTGTTGAAATTAAATAATTATGACAATTACAAAGTTCAAATACAGGTACCTATGTAATGAAAAAAAAAATATGTAAGTTTTCGTATTAAGGTATCTTTGCAAGTTCAATTTATTAATGTTGGAATAATGTTGTACTTTTCATGCACAAGTACAAAACGTACCCGTCTAGTATATTTTTTATGTTCATACAAAGTATTTCGGAAATTACATGTAGTACATGTTAGAGGCTCGTGAACATGTAAACCTGTATAATTATATATATCGACGCGAAGGAAAGTGATAAGCATTTTTTTTTTTTGACTGACTTGCAAGTAGTTACAAAAATTCAAAAACATACAATGTAAGGTCTACATGTAGGATAATTAAAATTGACAAAATAATCTTTCCCTGTATTTAAATCAAGCTATTTATCAAATTTTGGTAAAAGATTAATTTAAAAAAAATATCATAGTAGTTAAATGAGATTTTTTTTTCTCCAATTTACGTATTGACATAATGCACATTTATTCTGTACAATGTACATTTAATTTTTTTTTTCATGATCAATTATTAAGATCGATATTTTCGAAGTTGATCTGGATAAATTAAAACGTGCATGTAAATTGAAATAATTAATAACAAATAATTAAATTAAAGCACGTACATGTTCTTATACTAACTGTTCTCATACTAATGTTCTTATACTATATCTTGAGATAATAAAATTCTATAATTTATCGAAGACCATTTTTTTTTCTTTTTTTTTTTAGTAACATATGTTATAACCATTATTATCTTCTTTTTTCTATTATAAATTAAAGTACTTATTGTCTGATAAATTTACGCAATGTATATTTATATATTAATGGATTTAAAAATATAAAGAAAATAAATATTTAACATGCTACCTGGATAATAAAAATATATAATGTATCAATAGATTTTAAAATAAAAAAATAATGAAAATAGATGTGTAAATATTGCATGTTGTCTGGAGAATTAAAGTATATAAATGTAAAATCAGGTTTAAAAATATTATTAATAATATTTTTACACTGTACATTCACACGCTTTGCTTGTACAATGTTTAGATTATAAACTGGCATGTTGACTGGTCGATGCGCTGATGGTCAACGCATTTTATCACTTATCCTGATTGACAGGCCTGTTCAGCATGTTGATTGGTCGAAGCGCTGATGAGTTAATCGATAATCCTGATTGACAGCTCTGTTACGCAATACCGAACGCGCGTTCGCTTTCTGGGACCGCTACTGAATTTGGGGTTCGCTTTCTGCGTTCGCTCTGGGTCCGCTCTGGGTTCGCTACGGGTGCGCTCCGGGTTCGCTCGGGGTCAGCACTAGCGGACCCCAAGTGAACCCGAAGCGAACCCAGGGAGCGAACCCGGGGTGCACTCTGGGTTCGCTTTCTGTTAGGTTGTGTCTGGTCAGTACTGTACTTAACTTTACCAATCCCCAGAAAAATGCACTAAATTATAGTGTTGACACTGTCAACTTGACAGAAGCAGCTCCAATATAAAATGAGATCACTTGAGCGAATGAAAAAAAAAGAAAAAAAGAAGAGGTTTGGGGCCTTTTTTGACCCCAAAATTAAAATCTATTAGGATCAATTTAGTTGAAAATTTCCTTTTTAAACAAAGTTTTAAACATTGTTCTCTAAAAATATTTAATAATTCAGTGAACATTTGATGAAAATTATTGTCAATGAAGCGTGTGTGGTGCATGTTTAATGCCGTTTCTTTTGTACTTGGCCATTATTTGATGTAAATAAATGCATTGATGCTGAAAGTTCTTGCAAAAAATACTTGGGTTGAATGATTGATTCAGCTGATTTCATAATTCTTTCTTTTTATATTTTTCATTCAAATTTTAAACCAAAAAAAAGATAATAATTTTAATGCATTTTCAGAAATATTTGTGTGTTTGCCATAAATGTGGTTATATTTACTAGTAGTAAGTCAGACTATTTTTTTGTTTTCAAAGTTAGGGAAGTGGACAGGGATCAAAATTAACTTTTTTGACCACTAGCAAATTTTAGCTAGTGGAATTTTTTTTACTAGCAATATTGAACTTTCACTAGCATTTTTTTCTTCACATAGTAATTAACATAGGAATTATCTGGATAATTTCATAGAAAACTTATTTAAACCTTGTGAGTTAATTTAGGTCGTTTTATACAAGATGAAATCTGAACGGATACAGGGATGTGCAATTAAAAAAATCAAGCACTAGTCCACAGACTACCGGGTAGTGCCAGTAGTGGCAGCAATAAAATTACCCAAGTAAAAAGTTACTAGCTCAAACGTAAGGGGGGGGGGGGGGGGGGGAGTAGCAACTAACAATGAAAGAATATAAAACAGTAGTTTATCGTTGAAAAAGTCAGGGTTTTAAGGTCATGCTTTTTAGAATTAAAATTTAATTCTCTCTAGAAAAATTTAATAGTATATAAATCAATAATTATGATTGAAAATAAAATGAATTTAAAAATAAATTATCTTCCTTTTTTCTGGTCATTGCACTATCGCATTTAAATTGAATCTAAAATCTGAAATCATTAAATACACTGGAAATATATTTTTTGAAAATCACTTAACACTTTTCCTCTAGTTGATTAAGGTATCCGATCCATAAACGGACCTAATTTTCTAACCTTAAATATCCATCTTGTATTAAATACTTGGAAATAAATTCAAAGCATTTTAGAGTAGAAAAGGATTTACCAGGATAATTTTTCAAAAATATAATTACCTAAGCAGTAATTAATTAATGAAGAATGCATTGAGGTCTATGGGGACACGCAAATTTTTGAAAGTAAAAATTTCTATACTAAGAATATAAAAAAAATGCTGTGGTGGAAAGATGTATTTAATTATTAGGACTAGAAAAATGATTGAAAACTAATTTTTTACTGGATAGATTTTTTTTAGAATTGATTTTTATTGATTAAATGCATAGGAGGATAACTCTTCAAGGACAGGACAAGGTCAAAAATTAGGACACATTCCGCTCTTACATACTGATACTAAAACATGAAGATTATGTCTACATATACTGAGTATTCAGCCAATATATATCTGTTATGCATTCAAATTCATTGAATCTGAGGCTATTATGGGTCGGATACCTGAAGTGATTGTAAATATCTACATGTACAAATGTATTTACCATAAAGAAGGAAATGGAGGAAATTCGGATTAGGAAAAAAAAGATGGTTTTAAGAAGTAAATAAGTCAGATAGTACTGCAAAGTGGATGAGATTATGGAGATTTACGAACTATAAGAGAATGCTACCTGGATATTTTTCAGTGTTTGGGAATTTAATAGCAAAAAAGTGAATAAAAATACATGTAGTGCTGTTCATGTATTACATGGGAAATTTTAATTTCTACTAGCTCGAGGGGCTACCTCTGTGCATAAAATCACTAGCCCGACCCCCAAAAATGGTAGCCCCGGCATGAGACAAAGCTAATTGCACATCCCTGGAATAAACCAAAAAAAATCCGAAAAAGTTCGTTTTTTTTTTAACTCGCAAAATTTGGTGACCACAGGTGCTTTTAACTCGCAATTTCTGTTTTTAATTCGCATTTAGCGAGTATTTCCTGTTAATTTCGACCCCTGAGTGGATGGAAACTTTGATGACTATTAACCAGTCTTCAATTTCCTCAGTTTTATCACATGTTAACTTGTTAATATTATCAAGACATTTAGGTAAAATAATTTTTCATACTTTCTGCTTGAATACAACTATTTTAATACTCTGGGTTGTGTCATTATTACTTAACCTAGTATTAATATATAGTGAACATGTAAATTTCATGTAAACTTATTTTCTTATCAAAGTTTTTCAGTTGAAAAGACTGCATGAATGATGAAGACAATCATTATTTTGTAATTTTTATAGAATGCGGGGTGCAAGGAAGGCAAAGACGAAAGCCAAGTCTACTGTACAGGGGGCATTCGTTGAGGCCACATCAGATTTACCAATGTAAGGAATTTATTGAGATAATTAAGAAGGGGCAATAGTTTAATGTGTGCTTGATGTTCAGGTTTTGTCCTATGCCTAACTTTTTTGCCCTTTTAATGGAAGCTTACTACACATTACTTCAGAATACTTTTTTCAGTACTTCAGAATGCTTTTTATATATGTCTGTGAAAAATTTCAAAATGCTATTAAAGTATCTTAGGAACTTGAATATTTTCATTGAAGTTAGTCGTTGATATTATAGTCGTATTCTTATTACCTTCAGTCCAGAAAATGACTCTGACAGTGACTTTGAGGAACCAATGTCAGTATCTGGGGCTGGCAGTGGCAGAGGGAGGAAAAGGGGGTCCGGCCGAGGGGGCAGTGTAAGTACAAGAAAGAAAAAACATGGAATTGTACATAAATAAAAATGAAAGAAGATTTTAACTCATGGGTTCTCAAATGAAAAGAGGCAGGTTAATACAATAATTTCTCAAATTTTTTCAGTCTGTTAAGCGACCCAGACAAGCTGGAGCTTCAGGGAGGAGCAGAAAAAAGAGTGGGGAGGAAGAAGACACAGGGACAGGCTCGTTGTTTGACATTGTAAAGAGCGGAAAGGCAACACTGCAGGTAGATGTAAAGGGGGTTGAATGATAGATAAGAATTCATAAAATGAAACAAATTTAGTTCATAGTCACTCCAGATGAGAAATCATAGCCATGAATATTATACTTTCTTGCTTTGTAAGTAGCAAAACAAAACATTTAGAAATGAATTTTGTTTGACATAAGGTAAAAAAGTATTATTATATATTATAATAGAATATGAAAATTTACCACCATGAGAAATACCAATTGATATTGCTTTGATAAACACAAAAAAGTCAACATTTTCTGTGATGTATTTAGATAACAGTTGATGAATGGATTGAATCCTACAAAAATGACCGTGACACAGCCCTAGTGGAGCTGATTCAGTTTTTTATCCAGGCCTCAGGCTGTAAAGGAACCATAACTCCATTTATGTATGCTAACCAAGAACATGCTGAGATCATTCGAAAAATGACTGAAGAATTTGACGAGGTTATTATCTCTCACTATCATTTTACTTAAGTACCTGTTTTCATTCATTGTTGATTTTAGTTCAATGTCACTTCTTACTTTAATATATTGTTTTTAATCAAATTGTGAAATGTTCATTACATCTGAGTAGAATTTCATTGTTATTAACAGAATGGAATTTATATCTCAATTAATTGCAACTGATTTGGCTAAAATCTTAAGCTATGAATTGTAGATAACTATTTATAGTTTATTTTTCATTTTTTACTCTGACTTATTTAAAAATGCGTTAATTCAGATTTATTAACAAAATAATCTTTTTATTAATTTTATCAACGTAACCCTCCACACACTTGAATACTTAAGAGTATTTTAAAAGAGAAAAGTACATGGATGTAAACTATGTACATTGATATGTATGTACCTAGTTTGTAATCTTGTGATCATTTTCCCTCAGGACAGTGGAGACTACCCTCTTATTATGTCAGGCCCTAACTGGAAGCGTTTCCGGGTGAATTTCTGTGAGTTTGTGCAGGTGCTTGTTCGACAGTGTCAGTACAGTATCATCTATGACCAGTACATGATGGACAATATCATCTCTCTTCTGACCGGACTGACCGACTCACAGGTCCGAGCCTTCCGTCACACTAGTACTCTGGCAGGTAAGAGTGGTCAATCTGATTTAAATCAGGTTAAATGTTACATCATGCAGATTTAAAAGGTTATGGTACTGAAAGATATACTCAACTTTTAATGTGAAAGAGCATCCCTATGAAAGGGTCATTGCTGAATCAATTAAAACACATAATTTTAATTTTCTTGTGTTTCAGCTATGAAGTTGATGACAGCTTTAGTAGATGTAGCATTAAATCTTAGCATAAACCTGGATAACACACAGAGACAATATGAAGCAGAGAGACAGAAACAGCAACCAAAGAGAGCAAATGATCGATTGGAGATGTTGTTACAGCGAAGACAAGAGGTAGGTAAACTCAAATCAAATACAGCAGACAAAGAGAGCGAACGATTGACTGGAAATGTTGTTACAGTGAAGACAAGAGGTAGGTAAACTCAAATCAAATACAGCAGACAAAGAGAGCGAACCATTGACTGGAGATGTTGTCACAGTGAAGACAAGAGGTAGGTCAACTCATATCAAAAACAGCAGACAAAGAGAGCGAACCATTGACTGGAGATGTTGTTTCAGCAAAGACAAGAGGTAAAAACAGCAACCATTGAGATGTTGTTACAAATAAAAAGAGGAGGTTGTAAAGTTAAGCTGTAGAGAAATATAAACAACTAGTTTTAGTCTGGATTTTGGTACAATGTTAACAAGATATTAAGTAAGATAAGAGAGATGCAGAAGGGGAAGAGGAAAAGGTAGACTGGTGATGATCTAACAGTGGGAACAGAAGGGACGCAGACAAGAAAACCCTCTTACAACCGGGAAGACAAAATTCAATGTATGACGTAGCCTCACTCTTTGTTTATTTCATTTCAGCTTGAAGAAAACCAAGCAGAAATTAGAAACATGTTGACCTACATCTTCAAAGGAGTTTTTGTCCACAGATACAGGTAGTGTTTTTAAATATACACAGTGTTATTACTGTAATTAATACACAATTAGAGAGAAGGGGAAATGACTCTGATATCTTCAAAATGGGTAAAGACAGAGATGTTTAAATGTTTCTCACTGATCCCTCTCCTGCATATCTTGTTCATGATTGACATGAAAATCATTATTATTAGTATTACAAATATAATGTAAATTGACTCCATAAGTGTTTGTTATTTCATTGTTTTTTTAAAAATATTTCATTAAATTTCATTAAAAATCATAATCCTATGTAAAAAGGAACTGCAGGTACATATTAATGTATAATATTACACAAAGGTTGTAGCAATGATGATGATTTCTATTGTTGAACATTCTATAGAGTGAATATTTGTGACAGTACATATTGTTGTCCTGTCAGTTGTTGGGAAGAATATGTGCCTAACCTCACAGCAGATATTGTCGTCCATTGGCACATGTTGGTGCCTGAAAAATTAAATGTGTACTTATTGTTGCTGGTGACAAAAAATATGTTGTGCATGGGTGATGTATCTAGGAATGCACACTACCAGACATGATTTGGATGCTGGATGTGACCTGCATTTTCAGGATGATTGTATAGTTAAAGATTTTTGAATAGGTTCATTCTCAAATAACTCTAAGTCCTACCCAGACCAAACTTGTATGGATGATTCATCTATGGATGCACTTCACCAGAACATTCATTTGGTGTGAAACTTTGCCTTGTTACTTTATATTTGCAAGGTGAGCTTCATAATCTTAACTGTTAAATAACTGATTTCAGGGACTCACAGCCTGAGATTCGCTCCATCTGTATGTCAGAGATTGGGATCTGGATGAAGAAGTATCCCAACATGTTTTTGGATGATGGATATCTCAAGTATGTGGGATGGACACTGTATGACAAGGTAGATAACTCTTCACTTTCTAAATAATGAATGCCTGCCAATGGTCTAAACCCACTGAAAAAGATATATATATTTATTTTCCTTAGCTTAATATTAGAAGATTGGAAATCTGTATCTGTATGGTTATTGGATGTAAATGTGCTTGAATCTTATTGTAATAGTACATTTTTGCAGTTGTTTATTTTACTGTTCAAAAAAAGATTAAATTACAAGTGTTTTTCCTTTGTTAAGAATGGGGATGTACGCTTGTGTTGTCTGAAGAGTCTCCAAGCTTTATATGAAACGGAAGAACTGGCCACAAAGATGGAACTGTTTACTAACAGGTTTAAGGTTGGAAGATCCTAAATATTAAATATCTCAATCATCATTGGCAAGAGTATGGCCCACATTACCATTATTCTTGAATATTTCATTTGAATAATTCTATGGGAATGAAATATTTCTTATAATTTAGTCTCGTTTGTGCAGTCAGAAGTATCTTCAGTTTAGTAATTTAGTAACTTACCTTAATATCAGAATATTCGAGGTACATATTCTAAGAACTGGCTAATATTCTAAGAACTACTGTGTACGAGTATTCCAGCAAGTACATTTGACAGTGAATATTGAGGTTAAATCTGTGTCTTTTTAGGACCGTATTGTAGAGATGACCCTGGATAAAGAGCATGAAGTGGCCGTCCAAGCCATTAAACTGGTCATCAGTATTCTCAAGTATGTTAATGACATTTTACATATATTTCTGTATTAAATTGATGTAGGAACAACTATGTTACTAATTTACTGGTTACATGTTTGAAAATGTCTCTAATGTATACAAGCTCTCAGTTTGTAAAAAATTATTTTGTGAGAAGTCAGTATATTTCTTTTCTCTTAAAAATGAAATAAAAAAATTTAAAGCAGTTCTGGGTTTAATAAGTAACTCTTTTGTAGGAATTTTGGGTTAAATAAGTAATGATCTGTTGTAAATTTTGGTTCTGGGTTAATTAAGTAAAGTTCTGTTGAAAGTTACTTACCCAAATTTAAGTAGTGAGTTAAATAATGTTGTAGATTTATGTACTTGGTTAACATTCTATTGTAGATTTAATGAGCAGATTCTGGCAGACAAGGACTGTGAGAATGTTTACGAGTTAGTGTATTCATCTCACAGACATGTGGCTCAGGCTGCCGGGGAATTCCTTAACGCCAAGCTCTTCAGGCGAGACGAGAGTACAAATAAACTCAAAATTCACAGGGGCAAGAAGCAGAGTCTAAATACACCTCTGTTACGAGATCTGGTGCAGTTCTTTATAGAAAGTGAGGTGAGTGTCAATTTTGTGATGATTCAAACTGAGAAAATGTAATTTAAACTGAAAGCAGTAGTGACTTGGCACAAGATGATATTTTGTATATCCTGACTTACACAATCAGTTATTTGATTGAACTCACTAATTGAAGAATGGGATTGTTTCTGAAAGAAGTGGGACATTCAGTAAATGATAATAATGATAAGTTAGTACTGTATGTTACAGTTGTGTGACAATATATAGTGAAAAATATTACGTAATGAAAAAATATGTTGCAGTTACATGAACATGGTGCTTATCTAGTGGACAGTTTGTGGGAAATAAATGATATGATGAAGGACTGGGAGTGCATGACTGACTTACTACTGGAGGAACCATCCAAAGGGGAAGAATGTAAGTAAAGGGGAAGAGTGTAAGTAAAGGGGAGGGGCCATCAAAAGGGGAGTGTATGTAAAGGGGAGAAGTTTATAAAAATGGAGAAACTATCAAATGAAAGGATGCGATGGAAAGGAGAAAAAACCATCAAAAGAGAAGGATTGTAAAAGCAGGGAATCATTGAAAGTAGGAGTTACAGTAAAAGGGAGGGGCATTAAAAATAGAGGTGTATTGAAAGTACAGGGGAGGAATTATCAAAAGGGACACAGTCTTTTCTAAAAAGTTAAGAATTGATACCTGGGAATTAATGTATGGAAATGGATCTTTTTGCAGAGAATATTTGAGTTAATCTTGATTTATAAACAAATGATTTAAGTAGACAGTGTTTGTTGATAGTTATGGATGACAAACAAGAGACAAGCCTGATTGAGATCATGGTGTGTTGTGTTCGTCAGGCTGCAACAGGGGAATCCCCTGTGGGAAGAGGCACCAGTAAAAAGGTCAGTTTTAGTGTACATTTAGATCTGTGCTGAGATGTATTTATTAAACAAAATCTCGTTACTTCTTATGGGTAATCTTCAAGAGATGTTTTGATTTTTAGCTGACATCCAAAGAACACAAACAGGTGCTTGAAGACAAGACAAGATTGACAGAACATTTCATATCAACACTGCCCCAGCTCTTGTTAAAGGTTTGATTAACATGAAAATCAGTATTGCCTCAACTTTTACTGAAGATTAGGTTTATATCAACACCACCTCCAAAGCAGCTTGGTGCACAGATTTCCTAATAGTGGTGCAAGACTAGACTGCTGGAAATTTTAAGGACTGTCTAATCATGATTGTTTGTGGGGGACCAATGTTCGTGGATTACGTGGGTCACCCTTACCCACAAATTTGTATCCCCATGAACGTATTTTTAGCTCACCTAAACGAAGTTTGGGGAGCTTATGTAATACCCTCGGCATCGGTGTTGGTGTCCCTGGTTAAGGTTTTTGGAGCAGTTTTCTTTTCAAGTACTTCTATGGCCTATATTAGTCAAAGATACATGGAGGATGCTTCTAGTGTGTTTCATTGTACCAGTCAAGGTTTCAGATGCTGCAATTTCAGCTAAAGAATTTACCAAGTTAATGTTTTTGGAGCAGGTTAAAGTTTTTGGAGCAGGTCTCATTTCCAAGTAACCATAAGCCCTATATTGACCAAACTTGCATGGATGATACATCTAAGGAAGCACACTACTGACCTAGCTTCGGATGCTGGATCTGACCTATATTTTCCGGATGAGTGACCCGGTTAAAGTTTTTGGAACAGATCTCATTTCCAAGTAACTATAAGCCCTATATTGACCAAACTTGCATGGATGATACATCTAAGGATGCACACTACTGGACTTGCTTCAGATGCTGAATCTGACCTATATTTTCCGGATGAGTTACCAGGTTAATGTTTTTGGAGCAGATGTCATTTCTAAGTATCTGTAAACCCTATATTGACCAAACTTGCATGGATGATACATCTAAGGATTCACACTACTGGACTTGCTTCAGATGCTGGATCTGACCTACATTTTCCGGATGAGTAACCAGGTTAAAGTTTTTGGAGCAGATCTCATTTCCAAGTAACTATAGCCCTATATTGACTAAACTTGCATGGATGATACATCTAAGGATGCACACTAATGGACTAGCTTCTGCTTCGGATGCTGGATCTGACCTACATTTTCCAGATGAGTGACCAGGTTAAAGTTTTTGGAGCAGATCTCAGTTCCAAGTAACTATAAGGCCTATCTGAACCAAACTTGCATGGATGATGCATCAAGGGACGAACAATCTCAAACTTGCTTTGGATGCTTGATTTGACTTACATTTTCTGGATGAGTGACTAGTTTTAAGTTTTCAGATAAGTCTATTCCCAAGTAACTGCAAGCCCTATCAGACCAAAATTGCATAAATGTTGCATCTAGAGATGCTCAAGATTATTAGTTTTGTGTGGGACTTGCCTTACTTAAAGACAACATTCGTTGAGGTGAGCTCTGTCATCTCTTATTACCTATGTTTTGTAAACATATTGATTCATTGAATCTACTGTATAAGCGAGTAACCCAAGAAATACTTCCCCATGAACAAATAAAATTTTGCTTGCCCACAAACATTGGCCCCCACAAATTAAAATGATTCCACAGTAAAACTATCAAAAAATTGGTACAAAATGCATTAATTATTTTTAAAAAATAACATTTTGCTATGTTTTTTTGAAAAGAAAAAGGAATGATTATTACCACATTGCATTATAAATTTTCACTGCTTGTGAAATCCTGAAATTTATATTTTAAGCTTAATGGAAAACTAGAGGTAGATGAAATGATAAGATTGTGAAGTCCTAGAAGTTTCAGATTAGATCTTACCCTTAATAAATTCTGATGATCCTGTTTTGATTTTCCACAGTATCTAATGGATGCTGAAAAAGTGGCCAATCTCCTCCAGATCCCTCAGTACTTTGATTTAGATATCTACACAACTAGCAGGCAGGAGAAGGTAAGTAAAGGGAGATAACTCCTGTATACAGATTGCTCAGTACTTTGATTTAGATATCTACACAACTAGCAGGCAGGAGAAGGTAAGTAAAGGGACATAACTCCTGTATACAGATTCCTCAGTACTTTGATTAAGGTATCTCCACAACTAGCAGGCAGGAGAAGGTAAGTAAAGGGACATTACTCCTGTATACAGATTCCTCAGAACTTTGATTAAGGTATCTCCACAACTAGCAGACAGAAGGTAAGTAAAGGGACACTACTTCTGTAAACAGACATTTCAGTACTTTGATTTAGATAACTATTTAACTAGTAGAAAGGAGAAGGTAAGTAAAGGTACACTACTCCTATATACAGACTTTTCAGTATTCTGTCAGGCAGGAGATAAGTAAAGGGACACTACTCCTGTATACAGGCTTTACTTTACTTATATTTATAAATGTGCAGATGGGGAAACCACAAAAAGATGGAGGCCAGTCACGAATTTATTTACATTTTCTGTGTCCCATTAAAGCTCAAATTACATGTATAGGTGACTCTCGATGGCTCGAACTCCGATCTCTTGAAGTTTTCGATCTCGAAGTGAACCTCCGGTCCCTTTTTTTCCTCTATATAACTAAGCAAATTTACTCCTGATCTCTGGAACTTCCAATCTCTCGAAGTTCTCTATCTCTCGAACCAAGACCTGGGTCTCGTTACACATATTTCATTGTTTTTTACTCTCTATCTCTCGAAGTTTTTATTGCACATGTATCCACGTCAATCAAGCGTAAAATTAATTCAGCTTGGACTTATCTGGATAACAGTGGACGCCTGGGGGCTGGGATGAACGTGTTAATTGGATGTTTACATAGATGATACTACACCTGTGAGTCGTCCGTGTGTTGATATAATTAATTGGTTAATTGGTAAATTATAAACAAATCGCTTCACAACTTATTTTGACTGGATGAGACGATAATTTTAAGAAAATAATTTAGTGACGTATCCGTAATTTTCCATAGATTATGAACTTTAATATTATTAGAGTCTACACAATCCCAGCTTGGCAAACATTGCACAAGAAATCCTATCTCAAGAATTGTATACCGAGCAATCTTGTGAAGGACAGATCAAGCCTGCGCTCGGGGGTTAGCAAAATCGACAATTGCTATTCAGGTTTCATGTAATCATGAAATGAGAACAAATAAATATTGAAACTTAAATTAATCATTTTATATATTCAAAACATGATCATTGTTGTTGAAATCAAGTGAATTGCCTGTAAAATACGAATGAAAATGTGTAATGACATTATCAACATATACTTCCGGTATGTATAATAGTAGAACAATGATGATCAGAACTGAAAATTCTGGATTTTATTCACTTTCTATCTCGAGAACCCCCCGATCTCTCGAACTTTTCTTGTGGTCCCTTGAACTTTGCGAGATCGAGAGTCACCTGTACTTGATTATAAATGGAAATCCCAAAATAAGTCATGTCCAGTGTACCTGTTCAATAATAGAATTGAAAGAAAACCTAAAAACAAGGAAAAATAATTTTTCGGCATTGAAAACATTTATAGAGCTAACAATCACCTTCAACAAGAAACTTTGTTGTGCTTTGACTGTAGGACTTGTACAGGGAGATAATTGATATTTAACCATATTGTAGAGAATGTGTTCCTAATTTTGTACTTTGTTTGTCGCCTTGGTGATATAGAAACAATGTGATTTTTGCAGAATCTGGAGCTTCTGTTGAGGTACCTACATGAGATCATGGAGAAACACACTGACTCAGAAGTAAGTGATGGGTGTTACTCATGATTAAAACTTAAGCAAATTCTCTCATGGAAGATTAATAATAGTTTAAAGATTTAAATACATTTAAATATATAAGCATAACACTATCATCTCTTACTTTATTAAAGTTTAAGATTTAATACAAATACTGGTCTTATTAGTATACTAGTCTGAATTACAATGTATATGATTTGTAAAATTGATTTTATTTGAAGCTTTGGTTTGACACTTGATTATAGGATGACAATCTTTATTCTTTTATATATAGGTATTAGAAGCGGCCTCTAAGTGTTACGAGTGTCTCTGTGGGGAGGAATACGCCATCGCTGGAAAGTGTGACGTAGCAAGGAAAACACTTATAGACAGTCTCATCGCTAAGTTCAAGGAATCAATGCATGACTTCTTTGCTGAGGTCAGTAGGAGTCTGTTTTGTAGACAATCTTGTTTTAACAAGCAATTCATGTAAAGCTGTACATAATTGTCAGCTTCTAGAATTTACACTGTAAGTTGTTTTAATACCATGATTCAATAATTTCACAATTTGTTACAAGGGTACTAATCCCAATGGTTTAATATCATGTTGAAGCATGTGCCTTGTGAAAGTTCCTTTAAAGTTTGACCTGATAACGATGTCTACTTTTAGTTTAATTTCACAGAAAAATTACAAATCATTAACAGTGAAAATAAAACCATGGTAATTTCCAATATTAAGTATATGAAAGACCCCTCCTTGTCACAAGTATGGGGAAATTTAGCTTTATGACTTTTTTTTCTTAAAATTTTTAAAAAAATTTGTGGATACAAGTAAGGAAAACATAAACTCAACATACATTGACAGTTTCCTCTGTGTGATTTATATATATTTATTCTGAATACATTTATTAAAAGAGCTACAAGTATGTTTCATCTCTATAAAGTGATTTGATATGTACATGTATATTGTAGGGAGAGGAACCTGACGACGATGAAATCTTTGCCCTTTTGGCCTGTCTAAAGCGTATAGAGGCCCTGTACAGGTATGTATACATATAGAGATTGTACTGTCTAAAGCGTATAGAGGCCCTGTACAGGTATGTATACATATAGAGATTATACTGTCTAAAGCGTATAGAGGCCCTGTACAGGTATGTATACATACAGAGATTGTACTGTCTAAAGCGTATAGAGGCCCTGTACAGGTATGTATACATATAGAGATTGTACTGTCTAAAGCGTATAGAGGCCCTGTACAGGTATGTATACATATAGAGATTATACTGTCTAAAGCGTATAGAGGCCCTGTACAGGTATGTATACATACAGAGATTGTACTGTCTAAAGCGTATAGAGGCCCTGTACAGGTATGTATACATACAGAGATTGTACTGTCTAAAGCGTATAGAGGCCCTGTACAGGTATGTATACATATAGAGATTGTACTGTCTAAAGCATATTGAGGTACTGTACAGGTATTTTTACATGTAGAGATTGTACTGTCGAAAGCATGAGAAGCCCTTTACATTTACCTGTATGTTTAGATATAGGGATTGTACTGTCCAAAGCATATATAGAAGCCTTTTACTGGTATGTAATAATGTCAAGCTTGTAGTTGTAAACTTTCATTACTGACCTGTAAGTGTTAGCAGAGTATTTTACAAATTAGGAATGCCTGATGCATTCTTTACATGGAGGACGATCTTCTTGTTTTAATATTCCTGTTTTTCCTGTACTTTCAGTTGTCATGATTTAAACAGCTGGGACATCTGGGATGATCTTTTTCACATCATTAAGTCTGGCAATGACAGCCAGGGAATTCCAGAAGAGGTATCATAATAAAATTACATTAGAAGTGCATTTATGTTATTTCCATTTATAAAAAAAAAAAAACTGCAGCAATATGTTTATTACTCGGAGAAAATTGATAAAGAATTAAGGTCCAATGTTTGCCACACATGTACAAGGTTATTCATAATGTAATAAGCCAATCAGTCCTCTAACCTTGTGTTTACATTACAGATTGTTTGTAAGGCTCTGGCATGTGCGAGCCAAGCATTGCTGTGGTACCTGAACAAACTTGACGAGTCGAACCCTAACAAGGACGAGATGCGAGCCCTGAGGAAACGGCTGAATGACATGATGACTTACTGCCATGACCTACTTTTCCACCAGCAAGACAAAGTCGGAGAAGAGGTTAGGAATATTATAGTGTTAACTGTCTCTTAGGGATATTTTTTGGTGGTGTTTAATCGATAGATGGAATTTCTGAAGCATGCTTACTTTTAAAATACAGTATACAGTAAGGTCCTCTGTAGATTCTTTTCTAAACAGTTTATCATCTGAAGTGACTTTACCTGAATAACAATTTTGATTCTTGTGTTCTACAAAGGTCTAATGATCTGATAAAGATTACAATATAACTTTGTCCCTTTTCTAGTACAGTAAAACTTGTTTAATCCGGATGTTGTGCATTTCGGCATGTTGTTCAGTCCGGCGTAATATTTTAGTCCCTTGAATTTTCTTTATAATTTATGTTTAATAAATGTTGTTCAATCCGGATCTTGCCTATTTTGTAAACCGGCCGCTATTTAAAGAAGTGACTGCTCATAATTAGTACAAATTATTTCCTCTAATTCGACCACTTATTTTTATGTGTCCGCTGGTCATCAGAGAAGTCTTGCGTGGGGTAATTATTGTCCCGTTAATGATCTCTCCTGTATTGACAGTTTAGATTTTAACAAACGTGATAAAAAAAAATCATTAATGGCTCAAGTAAGGCGAGGAAACTAGCAAAAGAACGAGTGAAATTGATGGTTGCGTGTAGCATGTCTGTAGAAAAAGTTGGAGACTTATTCATGACCTCCTTTCTACTTTCGTTTTGCATGCACAACGTGCAATTCGAATTACTCCCCTTTGTGTTGCTAGTTTACAGCGACCATAACAACAGAAAATTTTGGTCCAATATTCATTATAACATTTGAAATTAACAAATACAGTGTCTAAATATTCAAACATGTAGATTTTAAGAGAAAGAAATTAATTAGGAATCTGTCCTAACAAAATAATATTTACAGCTAGGATGAGGTTTTGGAGTGTGTTTAAAACAATTAACGATTTTCAAATTTAATGAATGACCAACAGGTAATATATTTCGTTACTGAATAAAAAACTTGAACAGAAACGAAAATTCTTAAGAACAAACAAAGTTCAAAACAAACGAAATAGATGATTTTTTCAAGTGAAAAGTAAAAAATGACACATTTGATCAAGTATTTATATACCACTCTTTGTTTATATCTATGTAATTTTGAACTTGCTATAGCAGTTCAATTTTCTCCAATTCAGATGTTTTCTAATCCGGCCAGAAATATTAGAACCACTGGTCGCCGGATTAGACAAGTTTTACTGTACGTTACACATTATACTAAAGACATTTTTGAGAAAACCCATTACTTGTGTATTGGATGTATGTTATATACAGTAGGTAATCCAATACATGTACCTATTTATATTAGATTTTTTCTAAATGCGCATAACTATCTGTGAACTGCAGATATTTATCTTTTGTTGGTAGTAATCTGTTTTGTAGGTATGCTTCACTCTGTAAACTATATTATTTCCTATGTAGCTTGTAACACGAGCTTTGATTGGTTACAAAGTCGGGTGTAAATTTCCGTACACCCGACTTGAGCCGGGGGTAAAAAAATGTGACGTCACAATGCTTAGTTTCTCTCTGATAAAAAGCAAATAAAATGACGTCACGATGCAATGTAGGACATAGTAAATCTAATCGAGAGCTTGAAACACAGTTGGTTGGACTTGTTTACAAAGAATTTGTTTGGGTAGATAGGAAATAAATTCGTTATCCAGGTCCAATCAAGGGTGTACGGGGATTTACCCCGGGTTGTATTCAATACACCCTTCGGCCTTCAGCCTCAGGGTGTATAGAATAAAACCCGGGGTAAATCCTCGTACACCCTTGATTGGACCTGGATATCTGTTATAGTCATATTATACATCACAATCTGTGACCTATATAACATCTATAACCTGTTTGGTAGGCATACATAACAATCTTTGACCTGTTTTGTAGGCATACATAACAATCCATGACCTGTTTTGTAGGCATACATAACAATTTGTGATTTGTTGGTGATGTTTAGTCGACATCTTGGTGAGATTAATGAAGTGATGAAACCACTTGTGTATGAACCAGACAAGAATCTCCAACAACAGCTCAGCAACTTCTTGACAGAGAAAGTCTTCATTGAGGATGATGATGGTCAGTCCAGATAACACAAGGCCAACAGTAAAAAATTATTTGTTTGATGCACTCTGATCAACTTGTCAAATTGCCCCTACCCAATATTACCCAATCATTTCTTTCAGTACTTATAAATTTATTTTTTTTGGGGGGGGGGGGGGGGGTTAGTTCCAGAGATTGTTTCATTTAAAGATTTTAGTTTATAATTTCTCTTGGATCTTTTTTCAGTTGAAAGCTTTTGTAGCAATAAATATTAAATCTGTCTTGCTGTTCGTTGTATAAAGAAAATATCAATAATTTTCCAAGTCTGTGATGTTTATGACAATTATCAATTTGCTAGATACTAATAAAAAGAAAGGAAGAAAAAAAACGTACTTACACCTTGAAAAATATAGGTTGGAATACATCAAACAAAAATGTTTTTAATGATGGTCCAAACAATTTGTAATCATAGTGGACTTTATTTTGAGCAGTCTTTCCTTGCTATAGTGTTAACATTTACCTGTATGTAATGAACTACTGTGAGTTTAAAGTAATCGCATAAATTCATTGTCTCTTCCTTACAGAAGACATTGATGAGAATGTTAAGATAGAGGAGCTTCACAAAAGACGGAATTTCTTGGCCTCATTCTGTAAACTGGTCATCTACAACATTGTACAGATCAGGATGGCCGCAGACATGTTTAAACACTACATGAAGGTTTGTCTTATCTTGCAATTACAGTAAAACAGTGTACATGCTTATCATGAATTAATGTTTACTCAAAAGAGATTTTCATTTCATTAAAAACTTACCAGAATTTATAACAAATAGAAATTGTTCATCTTTGGCACTTTGACTGTACTTTGTTACAGTATTTCATGAAACTGTTGTTTAGAAATTTAATTTAAGTATTGAATATGATATTGATGATCTTAGAATTTCTTTTTTGCTGTAGTTTTACAATGATTATGGGGACATCATTAAAGCCACACTAGGAAAAGCCAGAGAAATCAACAAGGTCTCTACAGCCAAAACACTGGCTCTAAGCCTGACACAGGTATGGGGGCATTCACTGCATAAGTTGACTTAAAATCACTGTTACATGTTTATTATATACAATATATTTATCAAAATTACTCTCAGTTCAACTTATCCCTTTAGAAAGTAAAATTCTTAAAGATGACTTTTTTTTTGTTTCTATTGATTATGTGTATAATTTTTCATGAAGATGACTTTCTCTTTGTTGTTACTCAGTTATACAGAGAGCTACAGATGGAGATGGGAACCGTAGACAGATCATCAGAGGCTTTCCAGTCCCTCAAGGTCAGCTATAAATGGAAATGACTCCGATTTGTGGTTTATTGTTTTCAATGTAAATCCTGTGTCTTTAAGAACTGATTTAGTATAGTTTGTAACTATGCAAAATTGTATCAATAAGTACATGTCCTTTACTTTATAACTACAGTTATTTTAATGTTTGTCTGGTGTTTGACAGGAATTGTCCAGGAGGTTTGCCCTGTCCTTTGGGTTGGATCAGGTGAAGAACAGAGAGGCTGTGGCTGCTATGCATAAGTAAGGCATCATTTAAAAAAAAAAACCAATTTTTTTTATTATCATCTCCAGAAAGAGATTTTTTCTTTTGACTTGCATGTATGGTAATATTCAATTATTATATTTAAAAAGTGTGATAAGAATTCATTATATTTGACATTTTTATCCCTTTCTTGTCTCTTGAGAAGCAGACATTATGAAACTAATTATTTTACAGGGAGGGAATTGTGTTCAGTTTACATGTAGATGAACATCATGACATCAACACACCACCCCCTAATCTCTCCTTCCTAGAGGTCATCTGTGAGTTCACCAACAAACTGATGAAACAGGATAAAAAAGTGGTGTATGTATATATATCTACTTCATTGCATTTGTTTTGTTTCTTAAATGATTCTGACTTCGTTTTGCTTTATACATTTTTATTTCCAGGAATGTAAATTGATTTCTGTATTATATATAATCCAAGTAATCTGTGTCAAATGGTTAGAAGACAACTACAGGGTTAGAAACTCCCTAAAATTACAACTCGCAAATAATTGCGAGTACAAGAAAGTGAACTCGCAATTTTATAAGACTACTCGCAATTTTCATATAAAGTTAAATTTATATAAATTAAATACATGCTGTACATGTAACTTAAGGATAAAGTAACTACTGTACAATACACAAAATACAACTACAGTGTGGCTTTTAGTCAAATTACTGATTTAAATCAAAAGCATTGTGTTCTGTCATACTATGTAATTTTGTTACAGTTTCAATGCAAAAAAAATCAACTCGCAAGTTTTTGCGAGTTACCTAATTTTTAACTCGCAATTTGGGAATTCTAACTCGCGTTTTGCGAGTTGTATATAGTGAATTTCGAACCCTGCAACTATATTCTGATCTTATAAAATTTAATAATTTTTAGCTCTACTGGTCAGAGACCAGAAGAGCTTATGCGATAGTAAGGTGTCCGTCGTCCGTCCATCTGTCTGTCTGTCCGTCTGTCTGTAAACAATTTTTCAAAACACTACTCCTCCTACAGTTTGGGTCTGATTTCAAGTAGACTACACTAAGATACATAATTTAGTGCATCGGTTTTTGATTTCAATGAACGGTGTTGCCATGGTTACTAAAAATAGAAATTTCTGTGAAATTCCTTTAAAACGCTACTCCTTCTACAGTTTTGGTCTGATTTCAATATAACTTGACACACAAGTAGACGACATTAAGATACATAATTTAGTGCATCAGTTTTTGATTTCGACAAACGGTGTTGCCATGGTTACTAAAAATAGAAATTTCTGTGAAATTCCTTTAAACCCCTACTCCTCCTACAGTTTTGGTCTGATTTCAGTATAACTTGGCACACAAGTAGACTACACTAAGATACATAATTTAGTGCATCGGTTTTTGATTTCGATGAACGGTGTTGCCATGGTTACTAAAAATAGAAATTTCTGTGAAATTCCTTTATAACGCTACTCCTCCTACAGTTTTCATTTGATTTCAATATAACTTGGCACACAAGCAGACTACACTAAGATACATAATTTAGTGCATCGGTTTTTGATTTCGATGAAAGGCATTGTCATGGTTACTAAAAATAGAAATTTCTGTGAAATTTCTTTAAAAGGCTATTCCTCCTTCAGTTTTGGTCTGATATTAAAATAACTTTGCAAAAGTTGACTACACTAAGATACATAATTTAGTGCAATGTTTTTTTTATTTCAACGAACGGTGTTGCCATGGTTACTAAAAATAGAAAATTCTGTGAAATTTCTTTAAAATGCTACTCCTCCTTCAGTTTTGGTCTGATTTCAATATAACTTAGCGCACACGTAGACTACATTAAGATACATTATTCTATTTATTGTTGCAAAGTTTCAAATCCAAGTGCTACTTTTCCTTTGTTATATGCACAGACCAGTAGAGCTACAGTCTCATCAGAGACTTCTGGTTGATGAAAAGTACCTATAGTTGATGACCATGAATGTATATTGTATGTGAGCATTTCACTGATTAATTCAAACATAATTATCAGTGTGAATTATTGACTGTTATTTTGTGTAGACTTCAGTACCTGGACAAGCACCTGCCTGGAGGGATGATGCCCCAGTCAAGGTCTGAGGAGTGGCAGTCGCTGTTTACATACCGTAACAGTCTGGCCCAGGGAGATGGGGAAGTCCACCCCATCACACTCAAACAGGCCTCCCAGAGGCGCTATGGCAACAAACGTAAACAGATGGATGGTAAGCTTAAATTCTCTCATGTACAATATATTTGAAATGATGATTTCATTGAAAGAAAAATTCAAGAGAAAGACATATGAAAAAAAAAAGTTTGGAGTTAAAATTATGTGTGATGGTTAGGTTTTTGAGATAGCTACATGTTTATGTACAAGCACTTTTAATATTTTACAATAAATGCTATAAAAGTAAGCTCATAGTCAACCAGAACTTTGATTTTCAGACTTCATTGACTTATTGCAGTAAAACTTTTTTTTTTACAACAAAATAAGTGTTACTGTATTCCTATCAGTTTAATCAAAAAATTGTTCATCAAAATCTTACTCTTAGTGATTCATAAACATATCTCGTAAAATTGATTAAGATCTTGTTAAAGTTGACATCCTTTTTTTGCTATTTGTGCAATTATAATATCTACTTTCTCTGCAGTGTCAGACCACGACTCTAACATGAGTGACTGGGTGGACATGTCTGTTGGTACCCCTGCCCCGGGGGTGCCAGTTATGGCCTCTACTGCCATTAAAAGGCGCCGTATGGATGAGGAGAGTATGGGAGGTGCATCGGAGCAAGGCTCTGAAGACTTCCAGGAATCGTGAGTTTATTTGTTGTGTAACTGGTGTTCCTGCATGTCTTTATATCTGATTTCTAAAGCTTTCAGAATGAATTCTTTCATTCTTTATAAACTAAAATATTTGCCTTAAATGTTTTGAGTTTTTAATTTGGATAAAATTTGCTGCAGGTATTCTCTGGATTTTTCTGTTATTTGTTATTTCCAGTCTAATTTACAGTACATTCAGTATTGATATTTTTTTATGCATGATTTTTAATTAGTTTCTTTTGATGTTGTTGATTCCATTCCTTTTCCATTGTCTTTATTTTTAGATTATGGTGAAATTCTGGGATTTAACACAGTTATTTCCCTTGGATGATTTACTTTTTAATCAAGACATTATTCCTGGAGTGAAAACAGGAGAATAGAGGCAGCTGTGACTCATTGTGACATTGTGTTACATGTTTTATAACAGAGTTGTGAAATATGATCTGATTTTATGAATCAAAACTTACATCCTGACGATGATATTTACACCAGCAATATTTTTGTACATAATAAATGTAGATATTGTAAATAAAACTTTTTGTATAGATGATGCAATATTTTTTAAAATGTGAATAAAGTGTAGTGTAGAACTGAAGTGAAGTATTGTAAGGATTTTCAAAGCTGTTGTCACAAGATACTTGTAAGTATTCTATGCATTGACAAGTGCAAGGATAGACAAATTGGAAGTGTGGTTATTTAGAATTTTTTTAATACCATTTTTTTGTTCACATTGATTTTTTTTTCGATGGGGGCCATTTAAGAAGTAAGGCTATTGGCTCATCCTCCTTAAGCTCTGCTTTGAATCAGTAACAATACTGAATGACAACTGGAGATTCAAGGGGAAACCAAAACACACCTGACTTGCATGTATCTTGCTTTAACTCCCCCTTGATTTGACATCACCTTAATAAAAATAATGGAAGCCATGATTAAGCTGCAACACAGGCATAATTATATATTCAAATTCTTTCTTCAGTTTTTTAAAAAATAAGTTAAATTCCAGTTTGGCATTTCTCTTGGAACATTCTGAATTTAAAAAAAAAATAGTATACACTACATGGATGTAATGAATTTTTAGCTCATCTCAACAAAGTTGGGGGAGCTTATGTAATACCGTCTGCGTCCCAGGTAAAAGTTTTTGGAGCAGATTTCTTTTCAAGTACTTCTATGCCCTAAATTCATCAGAGATGCATGGAGGATGCTTCTAGTGTGTTTTATTGTACCAGTCAAGGTGGTTTCAGATGCTGCAATTTCAGCTAAAGAATGACCAGGTTAATGTTTTTGGAGCAGGTTTAAGTTTTTGGAGCAGGTTTAAGGTATGTCACTCGTCAGCCTTTTAGAAAATTTCAGTCAGAACCTCTTACTTAAAAACTATTTATTACAATTCAATCTTTATAACATATTTAAATTAAACAATGTAAAATGTTCAACATTCAATTAAAAAACTGCTAAAAAATTCACAAAGAAGCAAGATTTATAAGGAACTATTTCTTGTGGCGGAAGGATATTTAGCAGAAAATTCTGCAAATCTACACATTTATTAAATTTAATATCTTGGAACTTTAGCCTCACATACTTTTACTCAGAGACTATTTTCCGTTATGGTATGCCTGGAATATTAAATATAGGTCTCAATTTATATTTTTGTAACAAAATTTACACCTTCGCTCAACAAACATTGCCAAGAAATGAAGATATATTAAGGAAGTCGAGATAAGATTTACACAGTTTTTTTTTGCCTGAAAATCGCATATTTTGACCAATATTTCAAAATTTACATCACTGACCCCAACTTTTTCTTTCATTATTTTAAACTACTCGATACTTTTGACCGATCAGCACTTAAGTCGTAAAAAGTTTGATACAAGAAAATATTCTATTGCCTAATTAGATTTTTAATACCCCAAATATGAGACTTTTTTAGTGCAAAAAGGTCACACAATAATTTACGCGCATTAATTTGCATGATTTGTTCAATGATAAATATTATTCAAACTATTTTACATAAAATAAGATTATGTTTATTGCCATGGTTACATCTTATAAAATATGATAACGGTTAAAGTGATTAACCAAAGAGTTACAATTTAAGTGCAAAAAGGTCAACTTAATTGTACCGTAGCTCAGTTAGATGCACACTGACCCCCCATTTTCTCTGCGATTTTGAGTCAAACTATATGAGTACTTATCCAAAATATACTTCTCAAAAAATCCTTGATATAACAAATTTCACGAGTGACATACCTTAAGTTTTTGTAGCAGGTCTCATTTCCAAGTAATAATAAGTCCTATGTTGACCAAACTTGCATGGATGATACATGTAAGGATGCACACTACTGAACTTGCTTGATCTGACCTACATTTTCCAGATGAATGACCAGGTTAAAGTTTTTGGAGCAGGTCCATTACCAAGAAACTATAAGGCCCATCTAAACCAAACTTGCATGGATGATGCATCAAGGGATGAACATTCTCAAACTTGCTTCACATGCTGGATTTGACTTACATTTTTTGGATGAGTGGCTAGTTTAAAGTTTTTAGATAAGTCCATTCCCAAGTAACTGCAAGCCCTATCAGACCAAAATTGCATAAATGTTGCATCTAGGGATGCACACTACTAGATTATTAGTTTAGTGTACTCAAAGACGACATTTGTTGAGGTGAGCTTTGTAATCTCTGATTACCTATGTTTGCTTAATAGAACAATTTCACATACAGTTTGAACTTTTTGGTGACAAGTTTAAGCTCAAACCACATAACCTATTACACATCAGAACATAATTTAGCTGTTTGAAAAATTGGACAAATTTCATCCCAAGTTCCAGCCATGCATAAATAGTCTTCTTTGATAAAGAGGTGATGAGGCATATGTTATCAGAAACTAAAAACTGGTGAAATTATCATAATATATCAACAACTTTGTTCTTGAGAAAGGGTATACAAAAAATAGGAGAAAAGGTTCAGACAGCTTGAACAACTCGGGAAAGGTGACGACTAAGGGCGACAGTAATTACAAGAATAGTTATAGCCAACTTAATTGTATCCTGTATATTAAAGAACTTCAAAGGAGATATTAAATTTTACATTATTTAAATGAAAGTAGTATTTTACATTTTTTAAGTGAAAGTAATATTTGCTTTATGATGAAATTAATATTATGGCTGAGTTTGTGTACATGTTAATACAGATTTTATCACAATTTTCACAGTTGAATCCCCAGATTTGAGATTTGTCACAATTTTAAAATTTTTTTTATAGGTACATAAGTGGACCCCCTCAGGTACCCCAGATGTCATGGATAGCTGGACAGAAAGGTCGACAGGACACACAGAGACAGATGGAGCCGATGTACAGTCACTACAGACAGACCAGCAACTTGTAAGTTATCTCACTACAGACGGGCAACTTGTAAGTTATCTCACTACAGATGGGCAACATGTAAGTTATCTCACTACAGACCAGCAACTTGTAAGTTATCTCACTACAGACGGGCAACTTGTAAGTTATCTCACTACAGACCAGCAACTTGTAAGTTATCTCACTACAGATCAGCAACTTGTAAGTAATCTCACTACTGATCAGTACCTTGTGAGTTTTCTCACTACAGACAGATCAACAACTTATAAGTTATCTCACTACAGTCAGCAACTTGTAAGTTATCTTACTTCAGACAGATAACTTGTAAGTTATTTCATCACACACCAATAACTTGTATATTATCTCACTACAGACCAGCAACTTGTAAGTTATCTCACTACAGTCAGCAACTTGTAAGTTATCTTACTTCAGACAAATAACTTGTAAGTTATTTCACCACACACCAATAACTTGTATATTATCTCACTACAGATCAGCAACTTGTAAGTCATTTTACTGCTAGCATGCAGCTTGTAAGTTATATCACAACAGATTGGCAACTTGTTAGTTATTTCACTGTATATCAGTAACTTAAAGTTATTTCATCATAAACTTTCAGCTTGCAAGTTATCTCACTATATACAGCAACAGAAAGTTATTTCATCATAGAAAGGTAAATTGGAAGTTACCTCACTGCAGACCGGCAACTTGTAAGTTATCTCACTGCAGACTGGAAACTTGTAAGTTATCTCACTGCAGACTGGAAACTTGTAAGTTATCTCACTGCAGACTGGAAACTTGTTATTTATTTCACTATAGCACATTTACTACAGAGGACTTTTTACTATAGACAGAATGGAAACATGAAAGTCATCAACTTTCTTCAGACTTGCAGTAAATTATACACATTTTAATGAATTGATGTAGTTGGGGGAATGCTGTGGAATTATATAGATAATTCTATCTCTGACATCATAAATATTGTGTTGCAGGCAGCTTTAATTATGGGAATTACAAGCATGGTGTGGAAGGCAACCCTAATTATGGGAATGAAAACATTTGTGTTGCAGGCAAATCTGGGAATTAAAACATAGTGTTGCAGACTGCTCTAATTTAAATTATGGGGGAAAACATTGTGTTGAAGGCAAATCTGGGAATTAAAACATAGTGTTGCAGACTGCTCTAATTTAAATTATGGGGGAAAACATTGTGTTGAAGGCAAATCTGGGAATTAAAACAGTGTTTCAGCCTATTTATGGAAATTAAAACATTGTGTTGCAGGCCACCCATGGAATCTGAAGGCAGTGAAGCCAGCATTGGAGACTTTGAGAGTCCTCGATCTCAAGTCATGCCACCTGGTTACTATGGAGATGGCTCACAAAACATTGAGGATCAATCAGTAAGTATTTAGTTTCAAAATTCACCTTGTACTAAAATTCTCTCCAAAGGTAACATTTTCATCTTACATTTTGTAAAACTTTTTGTGTCTATTCATTACCTTATTTATGTTAATGCTAAGCATTCCGGGGCCATGCAACACATGACCCAGGCACATTCACAGGTAAGCGTAGGTGTCGTCAGTGGTTGTATAATTATGTGTATCATGATCAATATACTTACAAATTCTTAGTGATTTATTGATTTTCCAGTCAGAGATGGGTCATCATGGATACTGATGAAAAAGTTGTCAGATCACCAGATGTTACCTAGGAGATTATGACCTTGACCCAGAGTATATCTATTAATATCCTAGAAATAAAGCTGATCTACTGGAAAGACACAAACCAAAATGATCTCAGCATTGTCTTGACATTCAAGTAAACAGTCATGAACATTTAGATGTAAAGAACACTAATGATGGAATTTAATGTGTTGTTACATTTATTATAAACTTTTGTCTTTAATGTTATATTAGAATAGTATCTTGTGCTTCTGGCATATAGCTGTATGTAAATATATTGTATTTGTGAATTATTTATAGATGAGAATTAGAGAAGGTACTGACAGTGTATCATGAAATATGTTTTGAGTGCTGCTAGATATATTGTGTTTTTTGAAAAGATGTAAATCACATCATTAGAAATATGTTGTATCAATCTGTTGTTTTATCTAATTAAAGTGTCCATGATGTGGTGTTGGAATTTATTTTTGATTCATTGAAGTTTCTGATCTTTGTCCATGGGTCTTCTGATGTTTATTTATCATTAAATTAATGAATTTTGATTGATTGATCGATTGTATATTGTTTTACGTTCCATTTAAATTTTTCGGTATTATGGAGATGTCACCGTATACTGGTGAAGAGCTTCAAATTTAGACCTATATTTGGCACTCAGGACCATTGAGCAGTGAGAGTTCTTTATTGTGCCAACGCCTTCCGTGACAAGCGACCTCGGTTTTTAAGGTCTCATCCAAAAGACCAGTGACTTTCACTTCTAATGTCGGGCGCTTGGCGAAGGAACAATCACTACCTACATTTACGTCCTAGGTTTGACGCAGCTCGGAGAATGAGAATCGAACCTGGGCCTCCCAATCACACTGAATTTTGAATTGAATTGTCACAAAAATTAAACTTTTAGTCTTAAGACTAGGTTCCAACTTCTTTCAGTATCAAATTTTACTCAAACACTACTATATTACCTTTATTTTACTATACTGTAACAAAAGGGGGGGGGGGGGGAGGCAACCGGTCTTTCAGTGAACATTTTCAATAATAAAAGTTATGTTTGGAAAAAAGTGTCCCCCCCATGCTTCGTGCCTGATATATCCACAGAATCCGAAATAAAAGACTATAGACAGAGCCTTACATGGCCTTACCATCTTTGGATGCTTTACAAGAGAAAGACATTGATGGCAAACTAGCAACTTAACTTTATGTTTAACATGATGACTTCAACTTTCCTATCGTCAGCTTCCCTTATTTTGTAGCAATATACAAGTGCTGTTTGCTATTACGAAAATTCCGTATTTATCACGGATTTTTGTTTTCAAATACGGATTGGCCTCCGAAAATTATGATTCTGTGTTATGATTCTAATTTTAATTCTTTTTATTAACTTTGGATATACTTATAAACCTTAAATACACTGATATATAAATATTTAGATCGCCATTTAATTAATATGCATGATACATGCTGACAAAATTGGATATTAACGTAACAATAAACATTCTTGTCTAAAGTTATCAAATGTACGTTAGGAAATTCAAACAATGTATTGCCAACAATAAATTACGTATAAAAAGCTCAAATTACGGAGAGAAACCATTTAAATTACTGAAAACTGCAGAATAGGATAAACAGCTCTGATATACCAGGTTTACCAGGTTATCCTAGTTCATCCTCGCCCTCTGTCCACGGTATTAACTACGCATGCCCGACTCGGCATGTTAAATGCATCACTCGGGACTGGAGCCTCTCCCCCACGCACGAGGAGACCTAGTTAGAATAATCTAACTGTGTCTCGGGATAAGCCCTCACCACACGTTAAACCGGCCGGGTCCGTAGGACAATATCATTTTAACGATAGAACGTTCTATCTAGAGGAGACCTTGAACTTGAGCTGTACTGTCTCGTTTAGTGAGCAAGTGTAAACATCAGAAATATATGCATTTCAAAACACAGCAGGATATTTTGAAACTCTCGCATACAAAAATTTTTTAATTTGAATTTGATAGAATGAAAATGAAGACAATCAAATAATAAACAGATGTTCAAAAATGCTTACGATTTTTCACATTTTATACTAAATGCAACCCCCCAATTTAATTTGTACATTGTGTTTAAATTAACGAACATAAAATAATGAGATTTATATTGTGTTCACAATTATATGAATGTAAATAAAATTCAATGTTTGAAAGTGAGTGACTTCGTAAAGTTGTGAATGTATCTTGATGGGTTTCAAAGCCTAATTTGAGATAGGATTTACAATTAGTTCAACAAGATACTCAAGAAAATCTTCTCAAAACAATATGCAAAAGATCACTAAAAAATTTAGTTATCACCATTACCTCAATCACATGGTGATTCTTGTCCCCACAATAATATAAGGTCTGATGATTTTTTTTTTGGCTTGTGAAGGAATTTTTGCTTGGTAGTCCCCCCCCCCCAAACTGAAAATGTTTGGCTGTGTCCCCCATCCCTCCTTCCCCCAAACTGAAATTGCTTCCTACGGGCCTGATGTGAATGTTAAATTCAAATGGATTTTCAATGTAAACTATGTATATTAAAGATTCTTTTACATGTTTATATCATTAAATTAACAAAGAAACAAAAAGAAAATCAAAAGATGGGCCTCGTGATTAGTTCTCAGACAATGACCAATGGGGACCCACCTAGAACTGAATCGAACCCTGGACTCACGAATTTTACCATTGTTGAGATTCTATGATCATTACAAAATTCACGTTGCACGATTCGTAGAAATTCAGGAGTGAAGACGACAAACAACGATAATCATATTTAAAATATATCATCGATTAAGCTCCACCCTGGGACGATAGCCACAGGGACACTAATTTCTCAGCATCCCAGGTAGCACAAAACATTTTCAAAACATTTTATTGCAGTTGTAAAAAGGTTTTTTAAAAACATTTCAGAGAAAATATTTTTAAAATGTTTTTAAAACGTCATGCCTCTACATGATAACATTTTAAAAACATTTTTAAAATGTTTTAAAAAAGGTTATGGTCATATTTTTAAGAAACATTTTTGACAGATGTTTTAAAAACGTTTTAAAAATGATTCATAAGTAATGTCTAGTTAGCGTAAAATAAACATTTTCATGTTACGTTTTAAAAATGTTTTAAAAATATTTAGTAAAATATTTTTCTTCTAGAAAACTGAAACATTTTATATCACATTAGTACAACATTTTGGGGGAATGTTTTCAAAATGTTTTTAAAACATTCATAATGTTGCTTCATTCCGATATTTGAATGTTTTCAGCTAAGGTATTGAAAACGTTTTAAAAACATTCACCAAAATGTTTTACATTAGTTAAACTGAAATGTTTTATAAAGCGTTCGTGCAACGTTTCTGTAGGAACATTTTAAAAATGTTTTCAAAATATTTCTTAAGCCGCTTACATTTTAATATTTAAAATGTTTTTAAAATATTTAGTAAAATATTTTTCTTCGAGAAAACTGAAACTTTTTATATCATATAGGTACAACATTTTGAAGAATATTTTCAAAATGTTTTTAAAACATTCATAATGTTGCTTTCATTTCAGCCAATGTAATGAAAACGTTTTAAAAACATTCACCAAAATGTTTTGCATCAGTTAAATTGAAATATTTTATAAAGCGTTTGTGCAACGTTTCTGTAGAAAAATTTTAAAAATGTTTTCAAAACATTCATTAAGCTGCTTACATTTTAATATTTAAATGCTTTCAAACAATGTTTTCAAAACGTTTTAAAAACATTAAACTACATATTTTTTCTATCATTAACTGAAACATTTTAATAATCGTTTGCGCAACATGGAAACATTTGTAGAAACATTTCTAAAATGTTTTTAAAATATTCGTATATAGTATTACCATTATATCAACAATGAGTTTTAATTTGTATTGTGAATACATGTATATATAACAAAAAAAGCTCAAATGTTTTCTATTTGAAGTAATGACAAGTTTTAACACCTTTCTGTAATTATCTGTTGGAACGATTACTAAGTGTTTATAAAACATTGATATCGTACAAGACTAGCCTTTTAACCAATTAATTGTTCAGAAGCTGAAAATACATCAGAATCTAAGGAATTTTTTTTTACTCTCAGTCTAGTATGAGATGGATGGTGTAATTTCGACCACCTGTGTAATTTCGACCCCTCAATACCTTGAAATATTTTATTTGTAAACGATTATTTTTTATATGTAAATCTACTTTATGCAGATATAAAAGACATTTTTTTAAAATGTATTTTGTCGATATTGTGTCGATTAAAATATTTTCGAAAGGTAATTTATTTTCTAGAATTAATATAACAATATCTAAGTAGGGGGTTAATCATAAAAAAATAAGGAAGAACATATATAACCCATTGGAGTAATTATCACGTCTGAATATATCTGTAAAGAAAGGAAATTAATGGATACCCCTACGGCGCCAGTAGGTAACAAAATGACGCAATACAATCTGCTGTAATAGATGACTATGAAAAAATTAGGCACATTTATTTTATGACGAATGATACATATGAAAGCAATGCAATTTGAAAAATGGAATGTATTCCGAATTAAAAAAAAAAATCATTAAAATCAGTATCGACAGCGACAAACTACACGTATTTGAGTACAAAAAAAAATAATCGTTGAAATTGCACTCTAATATTTATAGTCTGACGTCTTCAGAGAGTGCTTGATTTAGTCTATGTATTTGAAATATCTGGATCTTGAAAAGGTAGAGAGAGTGAGGACTATATTGCATGGAAACTTAAATATACATCCAAAGAAGAACAGGGTATTAAAGGTCCAAACAAAATCTTGATTTCATCAATACCACAAATAACATCACAGATTACATAATATTTAGCTAATCTCAAATGCCTCGCTCATATATCCAGCTGAACAACAGGAATGAAGTTGGGCAGGTCTACACTTATCAAACATCCTCATCATATTTACTAATGGGTGTTTATTTTCGTACATATAATTATACATATGCATGCTGATTCTTTCTGCCTTCAAAATAAAGGTATACACAAAACATTATCAACTTACAGATACTGTATATTTATCAAGTTTCATATATTGTAAAAGAAATGTAAACGTTAAAAAGGTACATGTAACGCGGGATCAACATTCTGTTGTAGAGAAAAGATGTAAGCTGAATGTACAAGTTTATTGTATAAAACAAAAATACATATCAGAAAATTCTTGTTTCTTATTTTCATGATTTAACTTTCTTAATTCTAAGCAAAGTTTTTTCGTGTCCTCTTTATTCTTAAACCGAGCACATACGGTATTGTCTAACATGTAGTCTGAAAGGGGGGGGGGGTTGTTCAGAAGGCTGCCAAATAAACTATTTATTTATGTTTGCATTATTCTATAAAGCACTATTTGCAAAATATTTATCGAATAATCTACATTATAAACAAAGAAATGAAATT